TTTCTAGAGCTCCAAACTCGGCAGTAGGCTAATTAAAGTATTTGGTTTCCCGGTTATTTTTACCATACGGACAAAGTAAAATGCGTGTAGGCCTAAACAATACGTTTGTACAATACAGTAAATATAAAAAAGATTTTAGCTATAAATTTTCATCAGTCAAGTCCTATCAGACATAATCCGACACCAAGACATCAAAATTGTGCTGCTTTCGATGAAAACGTATCATCATAGCTATTCTGCCCTTAACCTCGGAATTCTTATTTGTTTTCTAGAAAGTAAATAAAACAAAATGTTAATTAGCGGCACTTCAGCGCATTCGTGTGTTTCTCCGTGGTCAAATGTAAAAATAACCCACGAGTGAGACAAGGTAAAAGTACACGCGTGCATGTCAAACTGTCAGATTCGGACACCTCCACAGACGTACAAGCAATAAACAAAGACGTTTAATGCTGGTAGCTCGCCAAAGACGATTAAAAGTCAACGACCAAGGATCACCGGAAATAGCTGGAACTATGATGCTTTGTTTGTCGATGATATAGTCAACGATCGCCAGACGATTACAAATGAATCCATGAGACGGACTACACGTGCAAAACCAGTAGATGTGTTACAAAAATAATTTTAGAAAACACCTTCACAAGTTTCAACTTGACGTTTAGCAAGTAAAGATTATAGAGAGTTGTAGAGGTAAAGCCCTGCACACACCAGAGCGATACTCCGTGCGATACTGGAGCGGGCGCGATACTTTTTCTTGGAAATTCTCTTGCGATACCAGTGGTCCGTGCGATACCATGGAGCCTTATGGAGCCGCACACACCAGAGCGAACCGCGATACGCGATACCGAGGCGAATGCGATACCGTAGCGATAGTATCGCGGTAACGCTGCATGCACTGTTTGCAGCGCTGTATCGCGGCGATACCAATGTGGCCAAACGATGAACTACTCAGTTTTGTCTTTTCTCTGTATGTGTAAAAACAACAACATGTCGTGTATCACCGAACATTTACTTGAAGTTGTTTATACATACCCGATGCACTATGATTTATATCACGTTTTAGCAACTAGAAATTTAAAATAGGGTTCGTCTTCATTATTTGTTAATAAACTACGTTTTTCTGAAGAATTTACAATAGAATTCCCAAACATTCAGACATCTTGGATTTATTATTTATTTTAACACTTAAACATTTGATTTGAATTATCAATAGTTTTTCCAGTGCCGCTGTCAATCCAATGTTGGGTGATTGCTGACAGAATAACGCATTTAATACTGGTTTGATGATGATTCAAATTACTATTTAATAGTTCATACAATATTGTATTAGTTATAGCACAGCATATTGTAGAGGTTTTGCTAGTCAGACTAGACGAACTAGAGAGATGGTAGGTAATGGTAATAATGGAGGTGGGTGGAATGCTAATTGATTCGTTAACTCATTGAAACATATATCTACATACCAGTCTTACCTTAAAGTGATTGGGGAGCGAGCTGGCGTAGTGGTTAGAGCGCGGGACTTCAGTCCCTGAGGTCCCGGGTTCGATCCCCGCCAAGTCACCAATAGATTTTACCTAACTGGTAATGCCGCAACCCCTAGGTCTAGCCTGAAGTAATGTGAAAAACAATCCCAGGCTCGTGCCTCAGCGTAAAAACCTTAAGTGATTGCTAGCCGTTCTTCGGCACTCGCTTCACGGTGACGGTAGTGGGTACTTTCCTTTTCGATAATGCCAGAAATCAAACTCAGCAACTCGTCAAAACATTCCTGATTAATTCCAGAATATGTAGAATCTTGTTTAATCTTTTCTTAACTGGGTCATGAGCGTATATGGTACTCGCCAAATCGCAGCCGTTCTTTATTTATGCCGTATACCCACATTTTCCTTGCTCTCTCATCTTCTATAATAGCACGGCTAGTTAACAGAAAAGCTTCTTCTTCATCAGACCATGTCATAGTTTTAAGTTTACACACAGTACAGTATACAAACACTAACTATAACACAACGATTTTGCAACTAGAGAGTCTCACAACCACCGCACCTCTGAGGTGTACTGGCTTTCCCGCGCGTCCCTTTCCCGCTCTGGTGTGGAAGCACCTGTTTTCGCTGCGATATTATCGCCCAAGTATCGCAGATAAAATTCTAGGAATAGTATCGCGCGTCCCCAGCGATAAAGTATCGCTCCGGTGTGTACAGGGCTTAATACTAAGTGGGATTAGTAGCAATTTGAGTTTTGTGACCGTAACACAGTCTAAATTTAATGTTAATCGTAAATTGTACATACAAATTGGATGAACTTAAATATTTTTCTTATGTTATTCGTATTAACGTCTGATATTTCATGTAGGTTGGAAAGAGAAAAAAGAACAATGATATTCCTATGTGGTACCTATTTTTCCTGTTGCCAAACGGTCAATAAATTATAATTAATTGAGAATCCGTATTTTGTTGATCAGTTCAGTTCTATCTCTTTTAAACCACAGCCCTGAACACTGGTGAAAGTCAAGGTGTTCATGAAATTATTGTCACATTAAAAGATTTTAAACAAAGATCAGAGGTAATTGATCTATACTCATTGTTGTCGTTGCTATGTAACTATAGCAAACCCTTAAATAAAAATTTAAAAAAATCATTAATTGTTCTACACTATTGATGATTTATTTATAGCTACTAGAGGTTGTCCAGTGGTCGAAAAACTCGACCAAAATATATTTTAATGTACAGACTCCTCAATTTTCATCCCATGATGAAAATAAAACATATGATTGGAATTTGTTTTGATTTTCTGTTTAAATTTTGTTGTTATTTCGTCACTATCATGGCAACCCATAAGGTCCATGTTAATTTTTTGAAGTATTCAAAACAAATTTTTTGTGCTTATTTTTTAGACTATTTTTTATTTATAAAGGTATTATGCACACCTACAGGAAAATATCTTTTTAACAGTAGGCCTATGGGTAGATTTTCCCTTCAATGCATACGAGCTAAGAAATAAGGTTTTAAAGAAAGATGCTTGCCTATTAATTTATTTATATATTAACTGTTGATGTAAGACCATAAAATTATGTTTGTTTTCAGAAGACTGGATTCAAATTATTATATGGTAAAAAAAAGTTTTTGGTAGAATTTAATAAACCTGAAATAAAAAGATTTTTAGAGTAAAATATTTTATTGAAACATTTTTTTAAATTGCTAATGCAAGTAGGAAAATTACTATACATATTATGTCCAAGATAGTGACTTATGTTTTTTATTTTTAACGCCATTTTACGAGTAAATTTTTAAAGCAATTGTGAACTTAATCTCTTTACAGTAAATAAAAGGCATTTTTTATTTATGTCCTCATTCTTAGTTTCTCCAGCCAATTTCCCATTTTAGTTTTTTTATATCGGTTTACTTTCTATTCCTGGAACAACTTATTGAACATTTCAAAATATTTAATACAAACTAACAGAGTTGTTTTTGCTATTGTTGTTTAATTCAGGATTAATGAACACCATGTGAACCCACTGGAATATTCTTGGAACAACAAATTCAAGAAGAGGTTTTAATCTTCAAAATGGGCTTTGCCGCTGTGGGTCACCGCCATTACTAAATGTTCTTTTATTGTTATTGTCCTCAAATGTACAGCATGTGTAATGTGATTGCTTTTAAGAAAATAAAACATAGGTGCATTTTTTTAATATTTTGACACTAAACGTACTTATAAAAGATTGCTTTCCTTTTGAACAGTAAGCTCAACCTAAGATTTAATCATAGTTAGCATAAATATGTCTTGGAGGTAGAGAAATTATAGAAACGTACAGTTAGTATAAGGATCTCAAACATTTTTTCTTTAGGTAGAAATATTGATTCTTAGAGAAAGTGTTGCTAAGATGATATTGATTTAGAAAGACAATGCAAGCATTGATTCCGATTCCGTACAAAAATAGGTCTACACTGTCTTCTCTTGTGAATGAATCCATTCAGTTTATAAAATGATGAATATAGGGCAAGTAATGAAAAAAATTGTTTGATTCATTTGAAATTCCCTGCTTACAAATTCTCTTTGGGAAAACTACATTTGTCCTATGGATTTCATTTACACTGTTTGCAAATATCTCCTTTAACAGAGTGTTACATGAGAAAACTATTGGTAGAGGAGGGACTACTACTGTTCCAACAACATTACTCAGATTTCCCAACTGAATAATGTTGATTTTAACAGTAAGGAGTAAGGACGGATCAAACTAATCGAAATAGGAAACAATTATTTTGTTATAGATTGTGACTGACTAAATATTGGAACTAAAATTGGCTGACCTTGACTCAGGCTTTATTAAAATTTTAATACAGTCCAAGTAACTTTCATTTGAGTTTCGCTGACTTTTCATTATGACTTTTCTTATTTCAAACTTTGTTTTGGAATCATGAAGTTTCACTGGAATATCAAGATTCTACTTATGACCCACTCCTAAAAATATATAAATGACACAGATGTAGTTATTTGCAGCTACTGGATTTTCAACAAATAAGTAGTAAATGTTTCTTCTCAATACAGGACCTGATAATTTAAGTCATCTCTCCCCCAAGTGTAAAAAGGATCCCCCAACCTCTCGCGATTTCAGAAACATTATGTTCATCCTCTGAGATTAACGTTTCATGACAACGTGAAGTATAACAAATTGAGATATGCCGGTGATTATAACAACTTTGAATTTCCTGTTCACGTATACAAAAATTACTATAATTCACGTGTTTTTCTGCGGTCATACAAATATAGGCACAATTCTTAGTTTTCCTGGTTGACTGGACACCGGTGGCCACACAAATTTTGCTTGATAACATTTCCTTTTGCCTTTGTCAGGCTGTATCTGACCAGCAATGTTTGTTAAGCTAAAAAACCCCTAATGTAATAACATACAGATTCCCATACTTCAATTATTATGTTTTTATGTAGGTATTATAACATTTTATTGCTTTTTCCATGAGGGGACAAAGATAAAGGTAGAAGGCATACGCACATAAAATAAACACATTTATTACACATGTGCTACCACAACAAAGAAAGCATTATTGTCTTTAAACAATGCTTCATTAATCAAAATTATAAAACAAAACAACACTTAGATTAGCTTCCATTAACATAAATATTTTTCCTTTAATAACAACATTAGATAAACTATGAAGGCAATATGTACAAAATTAAGCTTATTTTCAGTCTACTTAAAAATAATAATAAAGTGCTCTAAAACGTTCTAGAAAAAAATACTTTCATTGTAATGAAACTTAACAAAACTCATGTATGATTGATTATCAATTATTTTCTGAAACTACAAATAAAACTTAGCTTAAAAAGAGTATGGAGATCTGTAATTGTACTATTAAAACAGGATATAGTGAACTTAAAATAGTGTTCAAAACTGAATTTTTTACTTTTAAAAACCAAAACAAAAGGGAAATTGAACAAAAAAAATTCAAAACCTACAAAGTTAACAGCATTACTATTCAAACGACAAATATTTTGGACCAAGATGACAATAAGACAACAAATTTAAGCACAGATTCAAAACTCAGCATACGTATACATCAGTCAATAGGTAATGTTAATAAGAAAATATAACTTTATGGAACACTTTAATTTGATTTTCATTTAGCACTTGACGATTTGAGCACTGGCACTTTGAGGCACCCAGGGAATAGCCTAACCACGATCACAGACTAGAATGTAAATGTTGATACAGATAACAGTGCAACATTAGAAGAGGAACACAGGTTTCAGATCAAACGTAGAACTCTTCAACAGTTCCACTTGAACCAGTCAAGTAGTAAGCAATTTACTTACACAAACGTATTCAGTAAACAGCCAAGACTGAAAGTTTCATTCATTGTCTTATCAGGTCCACAATTTCTTAAAAATATATAAAAAAATGTCAAATGTAACAATAGACAAAACGGATAAAAATATTTCAAAGTATACCTTGTACACTGACACTAGCTGGTGAAAGACAAAAATACGTTAAGCTTACGTTTAAACAACAAACAGGCTTGATCGATTAAATATGGCAGCGATTCGGTACCTGTATCTAGATAATGTTGATATAATACAATAGATATACAAGATTTAGATTTGATCTAAACCTACACTAGACTATCCTTACAACTAATTTGTAATGTACAAGCACCAACTACGTTGTGCACAGTCCTCACGGAGGCTAATTATCGTTCACACAATGTAAACATAGCACCAGTCTTGTGCAGTCTTGAATACTGGGCATCACGATGCACTGACAGCATCAAGCATTACGATGATCACCAGCATCACACTGCAAAACAACACATCAATTAGCAACACCATGTCAGATTACCACGAAAAACATTTTTAGTAAAAGGGAGAGAACGAATTTGAAGACTACATCCCACATTTACCCTTTGCAATGTAGAGTCACGATTTTCCAACTTAACTGCCAACAATAGTATATTTCATCACTAGGGCGTAAAAGTGACTCTTTTCGACCCAAGCACAAGTTCCACTTCCCATCGGTCGGAAAATAAGTGAGGGTTGAAAAGACACTTTTTGCCGGTGATGAAATACACAACAAATCATTCATAATGCACAATTTTATTCATAAACTTAGTTACAAAACAAACATACTTTTCATGTAAAGATTACCTCTCAAAACGATTTTCAACATGTTTTCAATTCTGCTAATGCAAACAAGCAGCTGTTTAGTATGTGATTCAATCATTTTGTTTATTACGATTGTGTTAGTGTATATACGAATGTCAAACTATGGATAAAATTGCAACAGCAAGCGAATGAAAACAAAAACTAATGAAATCAGTTTAGTTACCTGTGTCAAAGCAGCTAGGGTTGATGTAGCTGATCAAGTCATGTTCAGACATCTGAGTGAGCTCCTGAGGAAAAGGCATCCCTTCCTCACACTTTTTGACTGGCTGTCCTGTTGTTTGTGGCTGATTGGCGACCTGTCCAGAGGGCATCATGAACATTCGAGAATCTTTCCTTTCTCCTTCCTTGTTTGCACTGACCATCTGATCACGCTGTTCATACTGTGTCATGGATGACATCTGCACCGGCAAACTCTGAGTGACTCCATCAAATCTGCTCAAAGCGGTCGTCTGTAACGAGATGTTTTGGGAATCCTGCACCTGCATATTCCCCGAGGCCAACATAAGACTAGGTGGATTGTTCATCGGAAGCTCTGGGGTTAACATGGATTGGGTCGAGGTCAAAATCATGTTTTGGGCCCCCGCATCTATCATTTGAGATGTCGTCATGTTGACTGGGGACAAAGCCATTGTCGGTGTACTACTCATGGAGATTCCAGGAGATGTGAGAGCTGAGGTTGGACTGTGATGAGAACTTTGTGGTGACAAAATGTTGGGGCTCCCGGAAGAGCCAGCATTTGAGACAGTGTTCATCAAAGGCACTGAATTCCTAAGGTCAATAATTTGGGAGTCATTTATGGATAGACTGTTCCCAGACAACGATTCAACATGATTTGGACTTGAAGTTGTCAAGCTCGATGAAATATGGTTGATGGAAGACTGGATTATTGGGTTGGACGATTCAGTGGACTGGATTGGGTTTGTGAGATTTTCCAAAGGAGTTGAAGACTGAGAAATGGCTGCTGAACCTACCAAGTTAGCGTTGAGCTGTTGGTTATAAGAGGTCTGCATATCGGAAAATACTTGAGACTGAGATACTGCGACATGATGCTGAGGAGAAGTCTGCAGAGAGTTGCTGAGAGACATGGATTGAGCAGTCATTGAGTTTAGATGCTGTTGGGGACTGACCTGTCCAAAATTTGTTTGAATGTTAGTCATGTTCTGAGCCTGGTTTATGGATTCAAGAGAGGCTTCTACAGAAGAGTTAACTCTGTTTGAAGTGTTGGAACTTGAGTCCAATTCAGTTGCACTTGACTCCAAGAGCTGTGATGAAAGATGTTGTTGCATTGAAGCTTGAAAATCAGATAGTACTTGAGCCTGGTTTACAGCGGCTTGCATTTGAGAAACAGTTACTGAATTGTTCATTGTTATGCTTCCACCAGTCATCTCAAGGTTATTTTGAACTGTGTTGACTCCTTGAGATGATAGATGTTCCAAGGAGGCTTGAATGTTGGAAAGCGACCCAACTGTGTTCGGGGAGGTGTGCGGGGATGACTGTAATGAACCGGAAAAATTGTTGATTCCAAGGTTGCTTGCCTGAATCGGCTCAGAATGAAGTATTCGACATGGTGCAGCTTGATTGGTCATTTGTTCCAAAGAGGCTTGAAGATTAGACATCACCTGAGCTTGATTTGGTGAATTACAGGTTGAGGACTGCATTAGATTTACCTGATTGTTCAAGTCACAGTGAGTCATCTGAGTGGTGTTCATGGTTTGGGATGACAACTGTTGTTCGAGAGAAGATTGGATGTTTGTTAGCTGTTGAGCCTGGGTGGTAGAAGCCTGTGAGGATTCCTGAATCAAGTTATTGAACTCTGTGTGGTTCATCTGAGATGAGCTGACTGATATATGTGGCGATATCTGATGTTCCAAAGGTGTTTGAAATCCAGCCAAGGATTGGTTTGAGCAGCTCATAATGCTGTTCATTTCAGCAGCACTAATTTGGGATGTACTTAAACTTTGGGGTGACAAATGTTGGTCTGTCGGTGATTGCATCTTAGAATATTGTTGGAGCTGATTTGGAGAAACTTGTGTTGGAGAGTGCATCAAATTAGACATGTTTGACTGAATTCCATTTTGGTTGTTTATGTGTTGTTCAAGGTTATTTTGCATGTTCGATAAAGTTTGGATCGGACTGCTCGAGACTTGGCCAGAAGAACCCATTAGGGAACAAAGTGCGGTTCCATTCATGTTTGAAATCTCTTGTTGGGGACTCATTCGAGAGGCTGTTTGACTTTCTGAAGTGACATGACTGTCCTGCATATTGTTCATGTCATTAGTTCCATTCATAACCATTTCACTGACAACACTCATTCTAGAGGTTTCGTCAATTACAGAGCTTGCGATTGGAGATGTTGGTGTTGGGCTGATATGACTGTCTGCAGCAGAATTGACAAAGGCATCAAGTCTTTCTGTGGCTGAGGGAGTCCGTTTGACTGGGGACATTATAATATTCAAACCACTCATGTTTGGTGCAGACATTTCTTTGTGAGACTCAACTTCTTGACTGATGAGAGAATCTGGAGATTTCTTAGAGATTAGCGCTGAATTTACAATGACACTCATACCATTCGGCAACGACTGGCTCATGGATGAACTTGCAGATGCTGAATTGGCTTCAAACGCCATTGCAGCATTTTGGTTGGTTATAACTTGATCAGCAGTGGTCAGTAGGTTTGAGGATTCACCAGAAAACATCGGTTCTTTTAAAAGTGCCGGTGGTGGAATCATTATCTTGGGCACTTCACTGATAACGCTGTTGCTTTCCAGTTTAGACAGGTAATTTCCAACATGAATGGATGGCAGTGCGCCGTTGCTCACATATCGGTTGAAAGTTTCCATAGAGGATGTCTGAGTGTTAGGATGCTCTGAGACATCAGATAAGGGCTTCACCTCGACCACAGCTTCAGGGACTTCTCGTTTTAAATCTTCAGGAGCTAGTGGCTCCGGAACAATCATCTGCACTGAAGATCTCCTCATGTTGATGGGCAACAAGCCAGGGGGTGGAGGGGGCATCATCACGTCTGCAGTCTTGTTCCACATCATCATGGAGTGCACCTTTTCTTCTTTCCCTAAAAAAAAAATGGAAATGTTAAATACTGCTGGACCAGGAGTCTCATTGGTGGAGTCATTGCAAACTGTGCTATCAGTGTTCCATTGTGTGAGCTTTTTACGTTATACCTTTTATAGATTATAGTGTTTTGTGATTGGTTATTATTTGCATGTTGTATCATGACTTGACTGCTTACAGTGCATATTTTGTTGACTGCTACCCTCTGTAGTGTATTCCAACTTAGGTTGGGCGTTTGTGTATTGTTAGTTGTAATGTGTTAGTTAAGTTTTTTTTTCACCTGAGGACGGGGTCAGATTCCAGATCCCGAAACGTTGTGTATTGTTTTTTTACATTCCTGATGGAAAATGTCCGCAATAAACATTTGAACAACAAGGCTTTTAAGTTTAAAAATGCTGTTCATCAGGAATTTTGTGCAATGCCATTTATTGATAAAAGACGTAGTATTACACGAATAGGTTTATCAGTCAGAAGAATGGTGCAAAACAAACACCATGGTATGCTCAATGCTGAGCTGGGATGTCATGACTTGCCTAAGGCCAGGCGCACACAGGCGATTTTGAGTCGCGCAACAGTTGCCCGACTAATCGGGGGACTGTTGCGCAACCCACTCGGAGACTCTGAAGTCTAGCAACAGTTGAGCTGGAGTGCGCACACAGGCAACTTTTTAGTCGTGAATCTAGTCTTGAGACGTGTTGGACATACATTCGTTACAGCGTTCCGAATGGATTTCAATGATACAGCCGTAGTATGTGCTTTGTTGATGAAGTTTCGCGTGCGAAAGAAAAAGAGAAGATACTGGGTTCATCCCATATATTCCCATATAAAGGCGGCCTCTTCTCAACCTCATCAATTAATTGTTTGACATCCTCATCACGCACACTCATACTTGTAATTTTCTAAAAACTTCACACAACAAGAGAGCAAACACTAGTGACTGTTCTGGCCACGAGTAGTTGAACTCCTGGGGTGAGACTGAGCGACACAGCGACAATTTAGTTGCATGTGTGCGCATCTACACTTGTTTCAATGGATACCAAACCTGGAGCGACAGTCCCGCAACAATTCAGTCGCAGAGCAGTCGCTGGCAAATTGGGTCCGGGAACATCGGTTGCAACAGTTGCGCGACTGTCCCTAGACTGTTTCCTTGGTGTGCGCACTCCAATTTAAAACAATGTTGAACATTTTAGTCGGGCAACTGTTGCGCGACCTAACCTCACGTTTCCTAGATGACTAAAGGACCTTCTGGGAAAGTTCATTTGGGACATATACAGGGTGTCCATAAAAAATGTTTCAGAACTTTAGGAAATGAATCCTCATACTAAAAGGAAGAAAAAAGTTTATGTGAAGGTATGTTGAAAAATGCATATTTACCCAGTTATCCGCCATTTTGTTTTTTATACCAAAATATTTTTATCTGTAAAGTTTTTCATTCGATGATTATGAAATTTGGTAACCATATTAACATACCCAAGACCTATAATAGTAAAAAAAAAATAAAAATTTTCCGATTGTAAATTTCAAAATGGCGACCGTTTGAATTTTCTAACTTAAATAACTAAAAACGGCTAATTCTATGAAAAAATGTCAAGAATACTTTCTTTTAGCATTTTTAATTCCCTATCAAACAATACCAAGATAAAAAATATTGGACAAAAGATAACTGAGATATAACGTTTTTGTGTAAAAATAAGGCAAAATTAAGGGTTCCCCAACTAACTTTGCCTAATTTTTACAAAAAGAACGTTATATTTCAGTTATCCTTTGTCCGATCCTTTTGATCTTAACCTCTTATCTTACCTTTTGATGGTACCGTTTGATAAAGAATTAAAAATGCAAAAAAAAATATTCATGGCATTTTTTCACAGAATTAGCCGTTTTTGAGTTATTTAAGTTAGAAAAATTCAAATAGCCGCCATTTTGAAATTTACATTCGGAACAACTTCATTATTTTTTCTATTATAGGTCTTGTGTATGTTAACATGGTTACCAAATTTCATGATCATCGAATGAAAAACTTCAAAGATAAAAATATTTTTGTATAAAAAACAAAATGGAGGATAACTGGATAAATATGCATTTTTGGACATACCTTCACATAAACTTTTTTCTTTCTTTTAGTATGAGGATTCATTTCCTAAAGTCCTGAAACGTTTTTTATGGACACCCTGTATACTCTACAGTGGGGAGCGAGCTGGTGTAGTGGTTAGAGCGCGGGACTTCGGTCCCTAAGGTCCCGGGTTCAAATCCCGCCAAATCACCAATGGATTTTATCTAAGTGATAATGCCGCAACCCCTAGGTCTAGCCTGAAGTAATGTTAAAAACAATCCCGGGCTCGTGCTTAGCGTCCTAAGGAAAAAAAAAACAAAAAAAAACTCTTTAGTACAGATTTAGTTCCCTGTGACTACCATCTCTTCTTGCATGTGAAAAAGTAGCTGGAGTGTCAGCAGTTCTGAACTGAAAGATGCAGTCATCGACTGACTTAAAGCACAGGCGGAAAAATTAAGATCGAATCTTCTAGTTTTTAAAAAGATAAAATAAGTGCTTTAAGGTGTATGGTTATTATGTTGAATTAAGTGAGGATTATTTTTTAAGATGTATATAATTAATTGTTTGTCTTTACACAGTTGTTTAAAAAAAAAAACTAACCAGAGGTTACTTCACAAATGGCACTCAAAGATTGAGGATACTTTCAGAATGGTTCTCAAATTTACGTTTCACTATTACAGCAATATTAATAATGTAATAATATTGTAATGATATTGTGACCATAGCTATCAACACTACCATTACCAAATGAGTGTATTACTGTGTGGTTTACCTGTATAGTTATGGCCAGTCATGAAAGGTGCGGCAGACTCGGCAGCCATGATAAGGGGGGCAGCAACAGGGAGTGGGGAGGGGAACAATCCAGTTCTGCTACCTAAACAAAACATAACAATGACCACAGTGCAAAACGGTGTTACCAACCTTATACATTACCTGATAAGTTGGCTAAAGCAAAACAGCATTTCATCCAGTCTCCTTGTTGAGTGCACACACAACAGACCCTCTCTTAACCTTCACAAGATCAACCCCCTTTGATCAGGCAAAAATAGAGATCGGCTTATCAACACTGAATTTCAAAACTGGTTGGTTCAACTATCATTTTCCAGGAATATGAGACTTTGTTCCCATCCTTATGGCTGTATTAAAATAAACATGTCCGTGAGAAGTTCCTTTTTTGAAGACTTTACAAAAACTTCAAGAATGGTTAAAACCAAGGTTTTCTATCTCTTCTCTATCCAAAAAGGTAGCCATTAGCCAATTTTACCAAACATTGATTATTGATTTTTCCTTTTTATCTTTTTAATGTGTAGACTTCAATAAATTTAACAAGCTACCATTTTGGATAGAGAAGCGATAGCGAACTTTGGTTTTCACCATTCTTTAAGTTTCTGTAAACACTTCAAAATGAGGAAGGGTGTTTACATTAAAAAAATTTGAGTTGCCCCCAAAATACCCCATTTAGGGGGGACACTCAATATTTTTAAAATAATAAAATAAAACTTCCTGCTAATATTGCACTACCACTAAAAGAATATCTCTCTATATTTTTGTTTAGAAAAATATTAGACAGAGGGGGTCCCCTTGTATGTAGGTGAGTTTATCATTCAATTTATATTGATAGTATTCATACACTTATTTCGTCAGTATTTTACATGTTAATATGATTGCTTGTTTTAACCAATCTTTTAGATTATCTGACTTCAGCTCGATCTTGTTTTGGTAGGTTAAGAGAGGGGGAGGGGGGTACTGTACATAAGAAAAAACAAGGCACAGTTCAGTAACTTTGATCATTCAAATTGCACAAGAAGTTAAGCATAAGTTTATCTGTGATGAATCTAAATGTACTAAAGTTTGAATTTTTAAAGGTAAATGAGAAAATAAATGGTAATTTCTAGTTTCTTATAAATCATATTCAGAAAGGTTTTGAAACACGGCAAATTTTTACTTATTTAAAACATGGTTTTAATGAAGAAAGAGACTAGTATAGAGGAACGTAGCCTTCAGAGCTCGTTGGGAGGAATCCATACGCTTCAAAGATCTGGAAGACAGTCTCTTTAGACATAAAACCACATTTTATTTGGAAAATATCACCAACACTAAGTTGTAAATGATTTAGGTGGATTTCACTGTGAAAAGGAGCTTGTATATTACCTGGTAATTTTATAGTCAAACAACCGTTTACCAAGACCAAATACCAAGATCTTTCTCCTCTATTTTACTGAATTTCGTTCTGTTTCAAAACCTTTGGAATGAATATTGTTTCTGATAATAATCTACCCATCACCACATTTAAAATATTTTAAAAACTTAGCCACTTCTAGTTATCTCGACAAATTTTAAGCTGAAGGAAAAGCACATGTCAGTTTAGAGCATCGAATATAGACACAGTATCTACAGTCAATGGTCCAAACCTTAAAGGGTGAATGATGATTTACAATTGTAAATTGAATAGAAAATATTTAAGTGGATAATTCAGTGAAAACTGGCTAGGAGGAGATACATAGATGTATCAGGCACTTGAAAATTAATCAATTAAAATTAATTGAATGCAAACACACCTTTGAGTTTTGGTTAAACTAATTAACTAATACAGTTAGCTAAACACTATTGAAATTCATCATTCAACCCTAAACCAAGTGATGGTATCTCGCTAAAAATTACACACTACGTCAAACATCTAATCTCTAGTCTACTACATGCAACTAACACAAAATAACACTATATTAAAGGAAATACACTAGATGCTAGTAAAATTATTTAGAGCCACTATCAATATGGATTTCCCATATTTCAACATGCTCTTTTGGTGTGTGTTTAATACAAGTTACAAACCTATATCTTAACATGACACTTATTTCCTCCTACAGTAGACGCTCGCTGTTCTAGCAAATTCAGGACTTTTTTGGTGCCGGATTATCGAAAATGCTGGACTATTGAACAAGCGACAAGCGAAAAGCTAATAGTTTTAGAGCATAAAATGGAAATCCATCATTCCATGTCTTATTGTGCTTTCTATAGCTGAAAGGAAATTGTTGGCCGGCAGGCCATTATTCTGTGTCTTATTGTACTTTCTTTAACTTAATTAGTGGTATAAAATGCTAAAAAAAATGTAATAAAATGCTCTTGCTTTTAACTGAGTGCTACCAATGTCTGTTATTTGCTCCCGACATTGGCTATCACATACACTAATATGTTAAATTAAAACAGTATTCAAAAAGTTTTTTCAGACCAATACCGGATCACTGAAAGTGTTGGATCATCGGATGCCGGATTAGCGGGCTTTTACTGTAATTGCTTTATATGTACATGGTTTTAAATTGATTTCAAGCAAATTTCAGGATAAACAAAAAGGTCAAACTTTAGGTCTACTAACCATTTCAAAAAATGACCATTCAAAGGCTTTGAGTTTTGGAGCTGAGATGATTGAATTATTGGGGCAAATATAATTATGCCCAAAACAATAGCAATTGATCACAATGAGGTGAGTCTGAAGTTTAAGCAATGAATACACAAACTATAAAGAAGAACAGGTCCTATGGACAATATTCTAACAGTATTTTCAAATTTGGCGCGCGAAATATCTGTAGTTCTGCACTGAACCACCACTCAGCGCTGTAGTCAAGTTTAGCACGCGGTGAAGTGCGAGAGAGAGCGACATACACTGTTTTCGTCCCCTGTGGGCCAGGCCACGAGAGAAAGAGAGAGGGGGCGAAAACAGTGTATGTCGCTCTCTCTCACACTTCACCGCGTGCTAAACTTGACTACAGCGCTGAGTGGTGGTTCAGTGCAGAACTACAGATATTTCGGGCGCCAAATTTGAAAATACTGTTAGAATATTGTCCATAGGACCTGTTCTTCTTTATAGTTTGTGTATTCATTGGTTTAAGGAAGAACACTGCTATTGAAAAAGTTGCTGATCTGTGATTCAAAATAACAACATCGCTACAGTAGATGAATGTGAACATTTGAATCACTAATTTGTTCAATTTCTCTAAAGCAACAAAAACTACTTTGAGAACACACATAAATAGCCAGTAAACATGGGCTAATCTTTATTAAAACTTGAGTTGATATAGTTGATATAAAGAGTTAACAAATATAAATTTCTATAATTTTTCTATAATTTTTCTACAGTTAGTGATTGCAGATTTTAACTAGATAACCCTCATCTCTATTATAAAACTCTTTAAAGCTTTTTTGACCCATTGACTAACTGAAAATCTTATATTTTAAAAGGTAAAGAAATAATTTTAATTAGTAGTTTAATAACAGATTTAAAAATCTCGTCACCATTTCTATATCTCCTCCTGGTGAGCAAAGGACTTCTATAAGCACCAGTCGCTTTCAGGAACTTTACTGCAAGAAAAACAGGATAGGAAAATATTAAGAGGTTCCACACACGAGGGTCCCGTTGTTACTTGGCAAGTACAGTTCTTTGACAAAAAAATAGAAGAATCGTCAAAAACATAATTATTCTACAATTGTTTGTAATTGTTGCTGGATATTAAGAATAATTGAGGAATAAAAGACCAAACAGCAACCTATTTGGCATGTCTTCAACCTTCGTGTGTGGAATTACAAGAAGCGAATAAAACTAGAAGATATGAGCACAAAGCAAAATTCAATCCAGCCTGTGTAGTTTCTGGCAAGATGGGCTGAGCAGATATACTACTACACTTACATTTTTTGTCTCGTCTATGAAACAATTGATAAAATACACTAAATTAAATAAATGTAATGATACCTCTATTGCATTAATAAACCTGAACTGTCCACGTATATTATTCTTCGATCAAGCACAGAGAAGTCAGAAACGGAGGATACATTCAACAGCACACTTGGTGGTGTCTAGCACCAGTTGCTGGTGTCTAGGCAAATTCCTTCTGCTCTCCTTTACCCCCTCGCCATCATGTACCACAGCGCTCACGCGGTAAGAAGACCCTGTGTGGTACAACTGCTGTACAAATATGCTATGAGGCTATCGCCATTCGGGCTCTTGCTTGCTTGACATTTCCGCCCCAACATACCAGAGCTATGGGCGCACGGTTGTCCCATAAGCTTGTATCCTCTGTATCTTACTTCTCTGTGGATCGAGTAAATCTTAGCAAATCTTAGTTTACCTGGTTTCATTGTGTCTACTTTAGGTCTTTTAATAAATAAAAATGCACGGAGTAAATTTTCCAGGAATACTTCTAGACTGTTAAAAATATTCTTTAAAGATTACGGAAAGGTTTTACAAAAATACCAGGTAAATTAAGGTTTACTAAAAAATATCTACTTTCTTTCTTCTTTTCTCATCAGATTCCTTAAGTAGATATAGTAAACACAAAAATGGTTTGTTTTAAAGAGACCTAAACCAAGAATAGTAGGCCTGATAAATCTATATTTTTCTCAAAAGCCCTTGATCGAGATTTTGATGCCTTTAAGAAAACATTTATTCATTATTGTGCCTTGGGTTTGGAAACTGGTGTCATAATTACTGTCCATATTATTTTTTATGAGAATTTAGGGATAATATGTAAGAAATACAGTTCATTCTCACAAACTCTGTATAATGCAGACTGGAGGTATGCTGAGTTTGAGAAACGCTAAGTCATCGGGAATAAGGGCCAAGAATTTGTAACTTTTTTTATTTCTCACTTGAAGATACAGTGTTTATATTACCATAACATTAAAGTATTTTAATTCAGCTTGCAGAAAGCAAAATGACTCTTAGTTGTGACTGTCAGATTAGACTGAAGTCTAGCGCTTCATTTGTCGAATATGCCTGACTCAGGTGTCCTGGTCTTAATCATAATGTTCACATGTTTCACTACATCCAACAGGGGCGGTGTAACTATTGAAACAAAAAGGTGTTTAAGTTCACCATTAAAGTTGTCAGTAACACCTGTGTAAATGTGAAAAATGCATCATCGCGGTTTCAACAAAAAGTCCATACACAGGTTGTCGACTGCCGAGTTTGCGAGAATTTACTGTATAATGTTTTCTTTTACTTTTCCCATAAAGGCGAGTCATTGCACAGAAGATAAAATAGTAATGCTTGCAGATGATAAGATTTGGATTGGTAATGTTAAGGCTATGTTTGTTAACAAAAAACATTAAAAGCCTCTTTTTATCTTGGGTTAGGTTTGGTAAGGGAAGTGTGTTGGCAAAACCCTGGCTCACCTCAAATGGAAAAGTAGGAGCTGTAAAATAAAAATCTTACCAACTTTTATAGACCAAAATTACCAAGCTCTACCGAGTCATTTCTACCTTACCTACACATACTTAATAATAACTAGCCTACACTATAGCATATATTTTACTGTCAGCCCACCCCGAGCCTTTTAAAATCAAAGAATTGTTTATTATGTAATAAAACAACACAACTACAATAAAAGCATCAAAAAGGATTTTGCTAAACTGCATCATAAAGCTAAAATTAAATTCTACTCTGTGCTCTATACAAAAAATACTCTTAGTGGAAAATACCTACGCATGCAACAATGTCAAGTGAAGGAAAACTACAAAAGAAATGAAAATCTCGTTACATACCTTGAGCGGAAACAGAACTGTCGAGAATGTTTCCTTCCTGGGTCAAAACTGCAGCAAAACAAACTGGATTAGTATAAAATGTAGATCAAGCATTCATAAAGTTTGAAGACTGGAGGTCCTGAAAGAAAAAGGAAGAGAAGCCACCAAGCCAGTAAACAATTCAAAAAGTACAAAACGGTTTTTGCGTTTACTTTTTACAAATAATTTTACAGTGGAATATTTATTTTACTCTGGATTTAAAATATCTCACTAAGATAAAATTACAAAATCAAGAAATTAACAGTAAATACTGGCTGTAGTGGCACGACCGCAAAAGGTAAAGCCACATTTTCACACACAACATACAACCAAGTCTCACGCTGTGTGAAGAAACTGATCTGTTGGAGGGGACGCAATCATGCAGGTCACAACACATCACACCAACACAGGGATGGGATGGCAAGTAAACAGGAGAAATATCACTTAGAAACATTATACTTTGATTTGGTACCATAGATTACAAAAAGGTGGCAAAGAATGGTAGGGTTATCTATAAATTACCCAACCTAGGTGACACATTTAATTCCCTCATTACGATTCTACTGTAGTTAGTTCTCATCCCTATGCAATGTCTTGTCATATTAAACGGTAATGATATGAGCGAATATCAGTTTTCCGCCAATTAGGAATCACACTCTGTAATTAGATTTCTGTGATCCAAGGGCTCAACTCCTAACAGAGTCTAATGTTTGTGTAAATTGTTTTTTATAAATAAATTATAATGATCCTGACAATGGAAAGTTACTTTGATGGCAATTTAGGATTTCAGGTAAAATTTAATGATTTTTAGCAATAAGTGTGATAAAGTCATTAACCTTTGGTAATAATTACAAACAACAGAGGCAATAGATTTTATGATTACAACTTTTTGAGGTTTTATCAATAACACAACTACTATTTTATTTGGGACTGTTTATGCACAATATGTGAATTAGGTATACACTCATTCATGGAGGAAAATATGAGTGGAAAAGAAGGACAGCAGGTCTATATAAAATTAATTCTTCATCTTCAGAAACCAATCACATTAATTCTTAGGTAGGTGTTACTTTTAATAAAAAAAAATCAAAATAAATGTTTAAGTAAATATTATATTGGGGGGGATAAAATAATTAAGACTAAACCATAAAATATGTAAGTTCAAAACCAATTGAATGATTTGATTGGATTAAAATTGAAATTTAACACCAAAATTAGGTCTTTATGAACTTTAAATACGCTATACTGATTACTGTACTGTTTAAACTCCCTTTATATACATCCCTCAAATAAAAATATTATCAATTAAATCTCTATTCAATGTAAGCGAAATAATTGTAACTTTGTTAAAAACAATTCATAAACAAAATGGATATGAGATATCAACACAAATTTCCCCCAAAATGAAGAGAATTTCAAAACTCAAGACTTACGATGATATTATTTATTCTTCGTTGTTTTGCCAAATGATTGAATCATTAATGGTTTACCTGTCCCATTCATCTTCAATCCTTTAACTCATAAGGTTACTATGATTTCCACAAATTTAAGTTATAACCACACCCAGCTGAAAGTATTCACATAGAAATCAATTCATAGGTCATTATGTTACTTTTTTCAAAGCTACACATGTAAACATACTAAGTTTTTATACTTGATTGCGGAAGACACAGATAGACTAGTATTTCACCAGCCAGAGCACTAGAAATGCAAATAAATGTTTTGTGAGTAAAAATGTGTCTCGTGTCTTATGTGTAACTTTTACAAGGTTAAAATAGACTAATTTGTATTGAAATATTCTCGGTTGAATGAGATGTGTTGAAGCTATGGTAACCACATGAGATAATGGGATTCAAGACAAACGATACATGTTAACCACTCAAAACTTGCATAGAATTCATTACAATGAATATCATTACAAACCTTGATAACAAGTCTTATGTCATCATCCCCATGTGAGACTTGTTATCAAGGTTCTGTGTAATTGCTAACCAATTCCTTGACTGCAAAATAGTTTCCTGCCAATCAGGTAGGTGGACAGTTAGTTTCCAAACACCCTTTCACTCACACACTCGCACACACGCACACTGCCATTGCCCCCTGCGGTCTAAAAGGGTATGATTATCCGCTCGCCTTCACGCTGTAAAGTAAAATATTACTTCAGTCCTCTTCTTCCGCTACTGCTCCCCTGCAACAGAATCGTACAAAATTTTTCTCTCAAATTTCTTTAAATATAAAAAATTATCAAGAAAAAATTTTACGGCTTTAAAGTGAACTTTCATACTCAGTTAGAATGAATGAGACTTACTTGGTCAATTATATTTTAGTGTCATACAGAACAATACCAGAGCAAACACAAAATGCTGTCGTTTATGAAAATTTATTCGTGTTCACACGCATCATTTGACTGTCAAAACTAAACAAAGTTACTTTAAAAAAAAATGTAACACAAAAGTTTAACAACAAATTATTTTTTATAGTTTTTCAAAACCAAAGTTCATTTTCTATACCACTCACATTCCAAAAAATACCAAATTGTGTGAATCAAAATGGAGTTTTTGTTTTAACACCACAGCTTTTATTGATTGAGTTTAATTCATTTCCGATTGGATGAGTTTCTATCATGAATGAATGTATGACACAGATTCATACTTACTTGGTACCGTGAAGCGGTAGTTTTGGACGCTGCTATTACTAACTATGAATGTTAACGCACACTGTCATACATTGCCATAACAATCTCACTCACCGCTTGGCAACTATATAATACGTCCCACTGTCAAATTGCATGAACAAAAAGTTTTTAATCACTAATCAGAAGGAAAATTAATATCCTTGACAAATAATTCTTGTTTCCAAATCAAAATTGGAGAAAAGATTTTGTTTTGATTATAAAAAGATTAAATTACTGTAATTCATTGGTACTCATTTTATAAAATTTGTAAACTTTAAAGAAATAACAAATTGCTAACTAGCACTTTAATGAACCAGAGAGAATAATATTAACTACTTATTTATACTATATCCAAACTACAGTAAAACGGTTAATTATTTAACCTAAAAAAGGATGTTTGGATCAAAATATGATTTAAATAATTGAACAATAATCAGCAACATATTTTAATATAAAACATTCTTACATTGTTATCTTGTAAATAACAGGGAATTAGACATGAAAAATAATTAATATTAATATAAAAAGGAAACTAAAGGTTTTGATGACTTAGGAGATAATAAATCATTTAAATTATCTATAGGGTTTTGTTAATTTTCAGCATGTCTAGAAAGTACCTAGTAAGGTGAGAAAAACAAATGTACTCAATAAAAATTGACACTTTGTGTATTTAAAGTAAACTAGGACGTATATTTGTTGAAGTAAACCTAAATTGTAACTTACAAACTATATTCAAACCAATTTAACCACTTAAGGATACTAGAAGATCGACTTTTAACCAAACTTTCACTTAGTGCACAAGTAAGTAAGTTAAACTTGCAGCCGGTGTTGATACTGTTAAGGCCTACAGACAGTGTGCCATGAGTGATATGAACTCTACTGTTTAGTCACCGAGAGATGACAACCTTGAAGGGGTTTTGCGACGTTTCCCCCTCCACGTCCACGCTGGCTGCCGCACCGATCACCTGTCTACCTGAAATTCTGCTGCTGAAAACAACGGTGCAAGCAAACACAAATCACCAATACGAAAACAACACAAGGTAACAGGAGATGTTTATTTATGTATTCAACCCCATTAAAGTTGCAAAAAATGTTAAATTTGAAATCTCTTCCTGTTACCAGAAACATTTTAAATAATGCCACATCCGCCTTAGATTAAAAATTTCCCCCCAAAATACTTTTGTTGATTCATAATAAAAATGTGGCATTGTAGCAGATGGCAAATAACACACCAAACATCATCACTCGACCGCTTTCATTCTCAGTCATCAATTCACGCTACTCAATCATACCAGTGTCAATTTGCCATCAAAATTAAAACAACCCTCATACAAATGTGTTGTTAAAACCAAGGAAAATTTGTATGAAAGTTGCTACTTAGATTAACATGAAATTGTGTCGCAGTAAAATCAATATCAGTATGGATGATTTTTACATTGAGTTTTATTATTATACTTAAAAATTTAAACTGACTGAATTTGTTAAAATATTCTTTGCCATTAGTTACACTTACAGTGACACAATATCATAGAATGTCTTAAGCTAAATATCATGCAACTCTCAAGCCACCATTCATTCGACCTTTCTCTCTGTACATGTATCGGCGAATCACGGCTTTCATTGGACGAAAGGTAACGCGATTCTCTTACCCAGCCACCGATCATGCTTGTCAAGCCGTGATTGGCCGATGTCTGAGTCAGAGCTCTCCTTCCGCTAAGCTGACTTTGCCAACTAATTATTTAACTTCACTACTTCAAAGCTGATCCATCCAATAAAACTGAGATGAAATTATCTTACAGTGTAGGTGGAAACAGTGAAGACCAGAAAGTTGATTTTAATTCACATAAACAAACCAATAGTTGAATTAAATCAGTTATTGTTTATTATTAGAAAAGTCACTCAGTACGGCAAACCCTCATCAAACTGTACCGTGTGGATTTGGTTAATGTCAATAGCTACGTGGAATGCACCACTGTTAACTACGTAGTTTTTTGCAAAATTTACAGTACTTCAGTAGAATGGTGTGTCAAGTACTGGTACTGGTGTGTCAAGCCAGTAAACATTTTTTTTTATTAAAGGTGTATCCAAGGGCACAGAGTAGGGGCTGTCTATCTTTTTATTAAATTTATTTTATATAATTCTTATTTTCAACAATCAAGAAGGTTATGATCCCCAATTAGCCCTGACTGATGAGGGTTTACTGGAAAAACATGTTGAGCAATACATTTTCTGACAAAGTAAATTTATAATCAATTCTGCTAGTGTTCACCATTTCACACTTTTAAATTTTTTTCTTAAACATAAACACAAAATTATCATCTGAGATGCACTAGTACTTTATAGATTTTAGTGATTTTTTTTATAAAACTTATATAATACATTTAACAATTTTGTTTGGGTGAAACAAAAAAGTTAATATGAGAAAACAAACTTCTGAGGAGGACAGACATAAAATAAACAAATTAGCAAACAAACTAGTGCATTTCAGATACTAAAGTAAGGCTATAATGCTACAAATTAATTCACAATTTTGTATCTTATTACTTACATAATTCTCAAATTTCTACCAGTGATTGTCAAAACATTCAATTTTTTTATAAAAATAACGGTCCAGGTGTCGAAATTTTACAGATTTAAACATAAAAACTAAACGAACACCCATTGAATTTTTGAAACTATTTATATTAAATATCAGCAACCAGAAACAAAAGCAGATGCACCACAGTTTCATATGTGCAGTTAATAAAACTAGAGTAAGTGTGCTATTAAGAAAAATCACCCTTTAAAATGTCACTATCTCTAGTTAAAATTAATTTAATTTTTTATGTCACAAGCTATTTTGCCACAGAATTCACCTTTAGATCTCAAATTTTATAAATATGGCTGGACCTTTTAAAGGGTTATGACAATCACTGTTAAATACTTTTCAAATTATTTCAATTCTCAAATTCTTTAGTTATGTTGCAAAATTATTCAATGCTGTTTGCAATTTTGTTTCAATTTGATTTTCTGATCAAAAGATCATATTGAGAAAGTAACTAGCCAAATTATCCAGTTATGTGTCTTTAATATAAAGACAGTAAATCAAATTTAAACTGTACAGAAAACTAAAAATATCAAACAAACCATAACAAATGAATTTGTGATTATATAAAATGTAAATAAATCACCAGTTAGCAATATTACACATCATATAACATTTAATTTGAGAACGATTTAATTTTTAATCTGGCAATATCTATACAAATGAATCTCAATTACAATGTTTACATTGTACTTAGTAAAATAAGACATGATTTTGTTGAGTTCAAATTTAAAATAATTTCTTGGTTGAAAACCAATAATTCAGAATTGTATTTCTTGACACCGATTATAATTGTTAGTAAAATTAAGCACTTTATAATTTACTCAAACCTTACTCTAAATGAGATGGATAAAAATGTATCACCTGAGCTTATCTATTTAATTTTTTAATCAAAATCTGAATTTTATTATTTTTGAACCACAATAATCAGTTGGCAAAGGTGGGTTTTAATAAAGAATATCAAAATTACTGTAAAACGAAAAGGTAAATTTACTTATTACATATTGTTTTATCAACATTTTAAATAATTTGTCCAAAGATTTAAAAAGAAATAAAGTCACCAATAAAATCCTTTTAAATAAATTGTTAGAATGTATTTAAATCAATTACTATTCCAATACTTGTACAAATTGTAACGAGTGTGACAGGTAAGGTATTAGAGGAAGGAGAGCCCCGAGTGGTGTGTGGTTGTTGGTGCGCCTGAAGGCTTCATGTACCTGTACTTGCGCCTGGCCGCATGTCCTCTGGAAGATACAGGAAGGGGTGCGCCTCACTAGCTTTGCCACTAGACTCTACCACAAGCTTCACAGTCACTGGCTCTGAGATGTCCACTGTGTGATATGGCGGCACCACACACACCAGGTGGGACTAAAGGCAAACAATTCACAACTCTTAAAACACTGCAAACTGTGTCTTGGGAGTTGATCTTTTTAAAGGGAAATTATATCCATTTTACATTTTAAGGTATGATACAATAGGTTTTCTAACAGGAGCTGAGTTTTCTGTGGAACTCAAATTTGTTTAGATCACACACAACTTTTTTTGTTGTTGTAGAACATGTGCATCTCTTTGTGTTTTAACTATGAGCCAATCAAAATATTTCAAATTTCAAACAGACCTTATGATGTTTTGCTAACTATTACAATTGTTTTTTGTCAAGAAAGACATCCCAAAGCTCCCTTTTTCAATTAAAATTTATTAACTAAGTAGTTTAAATTACCTTGTTACTGTCAAAACGATCCTTTGTTAGGACTACAGCTGTTTCATGCTTCGGATGGAACAAATCACCAGGTCAAAAGAATGTCAAGAATTGTACATTGAATATTCCTCATAGTTGAGTTTGTCAAAAGTTTAATAATAAATAAGTAACAAAACAAATAACACACGGAAACACAAAACATTTAGCACTTGTCGACCAGACGGTAACAGCACACATGATACGGCGCCGGATGAGTGTGATTCGTTTGGTCGACTAGTGCTAAATGTCTCGGGTTTCCGTGTGTTATGTGTTTTGTTACTTATTTATTATTAACTTTTGACAAACTCAACTACGAGGAATATTTAATGTACACTACTTGACATTCTTTTGACCTGATGATTCGTTCCATCCGAAGCAGGAAACAGCTGTAGTCCTAACCAACTACAAAGTATTGTTTCAACAATAACAAGGTTTAAGCCACTATATAGTTAATTCAGACGATCCAAAGGCAACTATATTAAATTTGTCGATAAAATGCCAATGGAGACTTGAAGGTGTCAATGTGTTGATGAAACTTCTGACAAAAGTTATAGCAGACCATTGGAATGTTAAACATTTAATATGTTGATATTCCAAGAGGAAATTAATTATAGATTTTTTACTTGAGTGCAACTCCATGTGTTTTAGACCATGTGCATACCCTACTAATTTCTTGTCTCCCATCTTACCTGTTGTAGAAACTCCTTATCCGGTTGTACTGCCTGGACCCACCCAGGACTGCCAGATTCTTCTTGGAAAACCACCCGAGTGTCCTTCAGGAAGTTCTTGCCCAGGATGAACAATTCCTGACCTCCACGGGCGCCACATGACGACAGCGACTTTTTACAGATCTCTGGCACACCGGGCGGTTGAGCTACAACATACCACAAAGATATTCACTAGCTGTCCTAAACCAATCTGATTTAAAATGTACCGTTTAGTTGAGTTTTATGATAAGTCATTTAAATGAAATATTCAAAAAAATTACACTTAAAAAGCACATAATCTGCCCTTCAAGTTTCACCAATAACCTTTATAAATACCAAAGTAGACCTTTTATTTTATCTATTTGTAGCTGTGGCCAATATTTTGAACAAGCAGAAGGTTGAATGAGCCACACACAGATTGAACTTATGTAAAAGTAGATTGCCTCATTTTGTGACAAAAAATTATACCTGGGATTTTTTCCGGGTAGACTTCCGTATCTGTTGGCACAAACAACCGAATGAAAATATATATAATTTGATTGTTTCATTTGATATATCGTTTGGTTAGTTAGGTTAGGTTAACCTTACCTAACTAACCAAACGATATATCGAATAATCGATATATTGATCGATATTTTTATTCGGTTGTTTGTGCCAACAGATACGCAAGTCTACACTATTTCCCCACCCTGTATAAGTATACCTTATAGGTATAGGTAACTCTTTTGAACTGTATGGTGATACTAGAAGGTGACAGAGTAAATGCAAATGTTATGGTGAATGTGGTAACCAAAAATATGATTCGCCGAAGTTCCACTGATACACCTTACACTTTTTTATATTTATTACCTAAGTATCTACAAACTGGTATCTACTCACTGCAGACTATAGGCTGGGAGGTGACCTGTAGTGTCTCCGATGTTCCATCAGGGTGTGTAATGGTTGTCCGGAACACCATCCGACACCTCGTGGACTTCTTCTTGCTGCGTCCAGATCCTTCCTCAGGGAACCTGTGTTCCACGTCCACATTGCGCTCCTTCAGGATACCCACACAGTCACACCTTGGAGGCAGAAACATGGATTGCAAAATTGTGTCTAAAAAATTAGCAATTTTCCGTTTTTTACGAGTGGACTGTCCAAACCATGGTTTTGTTATTAGGTTCATGAAGAGCTTTTCAACTAAGTATTGAAGAATACTGGAGTTTTTCTCGATAATCTTCTTTCGATAATGGGTACTTTTGAGTTTAGTAAGTTACATGTTTACTTAAAATAATCCACATTGAACCAGTAGAGCTGGATAAATAGGAAAGAAATGTCTAGTCGAGGTTTATAAAAAATAAAGTACCAACATGAAAAGTGGATTACTCACGTGACAACCATATCTTTGGAAGGCTCAATGTCCACTTCTATGACAATAGTTCCGTCAATCTTCTTCTCCACACAAGGAGTGGAGTTTTTCCCTGAGACTCTACACGCCTGGTAGAACATGTGGGGAGCCACTTTACCCTGGTCTGTGCCTATAAACACCTGGAGAGTGGACGGTCGGTCGTAGCCTACCAACTGGAAAACATCATAATGTGTTGCCAATTAAAATATGTAAGGTCCGTAGGTATAGAAATGTGCAAGTCACATAGTTTATTTCATCACAAGGGCGTATAGTGACTCTATTTGACCCAACAGAACAAAAATACTTTTTATGTAAATATAATCACTCAAAAATACTTCAAATTTTCTAATATAAACAAGCAGTTTTTAAGTAAATTATTTTTCCTACAGTCACCCAACAAAGTTGGCTTCCTTGTACTGTTTATAGTACAGAAAGCTGCTAATTGCTGCATATTTATACTTTGTCGTACGGTTCATCCTTTGTCGGTTTATACTTTGGCGCACATCAGGATTCCAACGAAAAAACACAAAACAGTGCACGTAATCCGTGTACGCTTGGAAATAGGTTGGCAACACTTAAAGATAATAATACTATGAGCAGCTGATTGACTATTATAACTACGATTTAACCTATCATTTCGTGTGTATAGTTTATGTTCTCTTCTCGGTATTTCTGAACTTTCTGGACTTTTCTTTTAAACGTTTTTAAAACATTCCTACGATCTTAATAAACAAGAAAATACCTTAAAGCACATTTTTAGGACGGGAACCACTGCAAATTACAAAAATATACGGAACTATTTTCTCAAGTCGAAGGAAAAAATAGCCTAGTGATACGGACTGGGGACTACTCTCTCTAGGGCACCTATTTGTGTTGCCAGCTGAACCTAAAAACGTGTTGTGTAGTTTTTGAAAGACTAATTATTTATATGCTTTATAGTGACTGTAGGAAAAATATTATGTGTAACATGAGTGTAAAAGGCCATTGCTGCACTCGAGATCATTCCGCACGAGCTGCAAGCGAGTGCGTAAACGTTGCTCTCGTGTGCAGCAAAGTGCCACTTTGCTCACTAGTTACACAAATAACTATCACGGACAATTGTGTGGGTGTATCGATATGCTAACCTATTGACAAGAAACAATAAGCTGCAAATGATATAAAAAAATCAATACGTACTTTCGATGCGTGCGATTACTTACAATCAAAGTAACTGAGTTTTACTCTCAAGCGAGAAAAAGAGACCCACAATAGACAATAGACAATAGACAATTTTCTTTATTTGTGATTTCTTTAAGAAATACAATGGCGTCAGAAAGATTCAGAATGTTTAACATTTGGTTAAACAAATGGTTAAAAACGGCTGTTTTTGAGGCACTATGACGAAAAAGGCATTTGGGTCCTTAGTGATGAACTGTTTTTGTACTCTTTGAGCTAATTACTGAGAAAACTATCATGCTTGTAATTGTTCACCGTAAATAATTTTCTATCTAGTTTTGCTGATAAATGCAAAAAGCTATAACCATTACTAGGTGAAACCCACCAAGAAGTTCCACTGTATAGGACCATATCTTACATGCTACTCTCACACCCAGATTCCAAACATCGTAGGCTTGTACTTTGAACCTACCTTAACCACCGGGAAACCGTTGCCAGTGCGGTCCTTGACAGCGCCACGGCTGCCCTCAGTCTGGTACCTGGCGCGGTGCTGCTGCTCCGGCTGACATATGATCAGCAGCTGCACCATCCCATTGTGAGAGGTACTCAGCAGCTGAGAGCTGAGTGTGAGAGGAGCAGCAGGACGACCCAGTCTGCGCACTGGCACACTGGACATAGACAGTAGACATCATGATCATGGAAAACAAAACTAGCGTTGGTTATTATTTATATTGTATAAAGTATCTCAAGTAATGTTTGGTTAAACGTAACTCAACCTAAAAGGCTCTAGCAATCAGAATCATCCCTGGAGACAAATTTGCTATAAAACTGCAACGAGCCAAAAACATAGAGTAAAAATAGCAAAATAAGTGACAGATAACAGAGATTGACGAGAGAATCCATCAATAGCCGGACTTCTTTATTTAAGATATGCTATCTTACGAGCCTTAACAAAACTTTGACTACAGTAAAAATAGGTTATTTAAAGATGAACGGTTTGAAGAGTGGCAGTTAATTAAGATTACACTGTGAAGATTTCTTGTAAAACTTTTATAACTTTTTCAGTTTTGTTCAAAGTACATAGGAAAATATGTAGCAAAATGTCTATTATACATATTTTTCAAGTGTGAAAGGCGATCTACTGACCAGATGGTCTGCTGCCGCACCGCCTCCTGGAAGGTGAAGTTGTCGTTGGCGTCATCTGATTCCAGCTTGATCTCCAGCCTTCGTCTTTTCACTTCTGGCGGCTCTTCTCCCGGCCAGCTTGTCTGCAACAGCAACAACAACAATGACAACAAACCATCTTTGAGGGGAAGGTTCAGGTAGATCAGTGCGTGTAGAAGAATTTGCACATATTTAACATTACAGTTAACTCTTGTGTCTTGACACCTGTAGAGAAGGAAGAGTGTCGGAGACAGCAATGCCAATTAGGTGTGTATTTTGAATTTTTTACTAAATTTGAGTGAAAGATGAGGTTACAATGGAGTGAGATCTGCTTATTAACAGACCAACGATCAAATAAAAATTGACCTCTTTTCAAAACATCAAAAAGCTACTGGGTTCTCTTCAGGTTATAGCCGAACCAAATTTAAACATTTAAGCTAAGACAAATCATCTCATGAAGCCTTGTTATCTCCTAATCTATTGAGCATTCAAATTAATCAGTTTAAACATTATTTTGCAAAACTGAATATTTTTTTGTATAATTTGTCAAATAGGTGGGAATGTTGTTCCATTTTCTAAATGTGCTTGGCATAACTGTGTTACATAAAAGTCAGGCTCATAAATCCAATTCAGCAATCATTTAAAGCCCATTTCATTAGTATTCTACCCAATAATCAGTGCAATGTACCTGAGTTTATATAGCCCTATGATCAATGCAATTAATAGTAGGACAACTTGTATTAAGGCACAACTACTGAATTTCAACATTTCGGTTGTTTTTTTTCTGCTAAAGTTGTGTTGACTTACTTAACCTCTATTTAATTGATATGACGTCTCAACATTATTTGACTCATATGTCCCGTTCTAGGTCATTGCCAACAAGTAATTTCACATTTTTTCCCTAATTACTACTTATCTGTTGTTGAAAAATGTTGTTAGGGGCATTACATCATCATGTAAAACTGAGCAATCATGTAAAATGAGGAATCTTAAAAGTAAACCGACCAGTAAAACCAACCATCTTATCTTTGGTGCAGGAAACTACTTTGTCACCCACTTGTCTCTTTCGGACTTTTTAGTTTAGTCCTAACTCAATTTTCCTACAGTATGAGGAACAAAAATAGCTTTGATATGAGTATTCAAAAAAACGTTACTAACCACAATAACTGTTTAAATTATCTGTTAGTTTTAAATCCAACTACTTCCATGAAAATTAAAAAAAACATTTATTTAGGGATTTAAAAATTGTGCAAGCTAAATATTAAAGCAGCTAAGAGTTTGATTAGTATCAGTTTGATTACAGTGTAAATTTATTTATCTGTCACCCAATACACTTTCATTACGATAAGTAGACAAAATTTGTATACAATCATAAATTTTATTATTATTATTGTAAAATGTTTTTGGATCATACAAAATCACACCTTCTCCTATTGAGTGTGGCCTTTATTTATAAAATTATCTACGAGTATTATAACTGACTTATAGATGTATACTCGATGTGTACGCACAGTTATCTGTGGTTGCATCAGTAAACCTGTATTTATTTACAGTTTGATAATTGTCAATGTTGTTACAATTGAATGCCTTAGTATCACAATACTTTCACAATGGCAACAGAAATATTCATGTGTTAAATTTGTTTCAGCAAATAAATATATAAAATATTGCAGCAATAGTAAATTTTTTCGGAAAATGTTGTACTGTGGAGAATTAAACGTTTTTACTTTCTACTAAGTATTTTTGATTTACATTTGGTAGGCCTTAGTTCTTGAAATGTTTGATGCAATATATGTATATCAGTCAGTATGACAATGTCAAGCGTTTGTTCTTAAATACTTATTTACACCAACACCGTTATCTACATTTTCCCATAAGTTATGGGTTTACGTCATCGTCCTTGTATTTTCAAGAAACTAAGGCCAACAAATAGTAAGTATATATACTTTTAAGTTCCTGAAGCTCCACTACTATTCTTAATATGTAACTGCAAATATTTGTTGAACGTTTTACAAGTAAACCACCCAAGCCTACAATACTGGAATGAGGAAGCCCAGAAAGATATGTTTCCAAAAGTTAAATGCAAGCATAACTAAGAGTAACAAGCAAACTGGTACTGCGATCTTTGTTGACAATAATCAGGTACTTCAATTAGCAACAATTACAAAAACCTTACCTCTCCATTACTACGTGACAGTATGAGTAATATATCAGCAAATTCACTCCCAACAGTTCTCCACCGAGTTATCACTTTTCAAACACTACTTCCACGTTACAATTCACTTTCCAAAAACAAACTCGCCTAATCACAACAACTGATCCACTAGGAAGGTTAAGGTCGGCAACATTGACTTGTGAGCCGTCCGCCATTCACTAACAGCTGTAGTGCTATTTCCAACTACTACATGTTTGGCCTAGGTTAGTTCAGGCGACCTTGAATACAAGACCCACTTCCTCGCATGCAGTGAGCAACTGCATAGAACATATGTTCATGTTCATGTTCCACATATGACAATGGATGAGTGTTCCAAGGTCGTCACAAAACATGAAATGTGGAAACTAGAAACCTGTTGAGTATTACATGAAGAATTGGTTTTGTTGTTGCTGCTTGGGTAGTAATTTGACATATTTTATCCATTTTAAAAATTGTTTAAAGAATCTATTCAAAAACAAAACCGACTTTCAAATAAACAAATTGTTTATCCTTCACTGCATTGTTAAAATTTGTAAATAAAAATTTGAAAACATTTGTTTTTAATTCCAGTTTCCAAACATTAAAAAAACACACTGTATACTGTAAATAAAATAAGTGAGGATTCTACAAATTATTGTAACTAACATAATATACAAATACCCCCACCACAGAAAACCTGTAGATTTAAGTCAATTGCAATTTCTGGGTTTTTACAAAAATATTTGCACAAACAAGTAATACTTATTCTTCTTAAAAAAATATTAGTTTTATCGAGTATGGTAATTAGTTTTGCTGATAGGGAAAAGGTAAAAAGTTTTTGGCCAAATGGTAATAGTATAGCAAAAAATAAATAAATTTTGCCAAATTTGCTCAACATACATCGGTTAACAAGCAAACTACAACAATTTTCTTTTTGTCATAAGAATAACATAGGAATTTTAAATGTACAGTTTTTGGAATTTTCACCATAACCTTTAATTGTACAACAACCTTTCAATATACAAATTTATTTGAGTTTTTTAGCTCTACACGATGGTCATAATTAAAATTTGGCATTTCTATGTTTCAGGGGTGGCAAATTAGAAAAAAAACATTTTTAACATTTCAAAACCCTAAAAACCCAAAACCATATGACCTTGATGGATCACAAAACTCATTTAAGTTTATCCCGCCCTTTACCATCAAGACAATCAATTCAGACCAAAATTACTCGAGTTATCATATTATCGGACACATATCTACATATAAATTTTAACAAATACTGTTTTTGGCCTCTTGGGACATCGAAATGAAAAGGAAATCGGTCCTGGGTCTAGGTCTTACCGTGCCACCTACAGTTATAGCTATTTCCCTGTAGGGAAATTCGATAAAACGTATGTATAATAATTTTAATTGGCCCTGCTTTAATTGGAGTTTAGTATAATACAACCTGATAGTAGGAATAACTATGACTCACTGTAGACCATTATAAAAACTTAAGTTCATTAGATACGTGATAACCCAGTCAACTGCTGTTGCATTTCATTTTAACACAAGCTCATCTAAGTTCTACTAGCTTAGTTATAACCGATTACTTGTTTTTAGAAAAAGCAATTGATAACTAAACTGTATTACAAATAAGAGGTCATTAACATGGAAACAGTAGGGCCTACTAAGTGTACAAAATTTGGTTTAAGTTATTAAGTCGGGTGAGTTGTTAGCCCGGTGGTGAGTGGACGGATTCAATTCCCAGTAAATCGGTTGGACTGCTTTCCTTTAAAAGTGTTAACACCAAAACTAAATTTGACTCAATTAAAAATTCCCCTGGCGTGAGAAAAAAGACACAATTCAAGCCACAAGTTATTACTGTATCTATAAAGTATTTAGACTATCTCATCTCGAAGGTGTTTTACTGAGATAGCATTTGATAAATAAAATTGCTTTTCAGATGTTGACTCCATTTTTTATTGGTTTTTTGGGAATATTTTATGCTAAACAATCAACAGAAGTGATTAAATTGTCACATTTTTTTAATCTGCTCTTTAACCTCGACACATATCTAAAACAATATTCAAACCATTATAACAACAATCAAATCACTTATATTGACAGGTATCAAAAATGGATGACTAAGCAAATAGACACATTGATCTCATTACTGAAAAGATATTTCAGATGAAGTAATTATATGAACAACGATAGAGGAGTTCATGTTATTAGCTATAAAAACATGTTTATCATAAACATCACTCCTTATCAGCTAAGAACCTCTTCCATGTTTGTAATGAGTTATGCCACTAAACACAATTCTCATAGAGTTTAAATTTTAAATTAATAGATTTAATTATAATTTATGTGGTACAACTTGATCTTTGAGATTTAGAGATCTACGTCCCACAATGATTATTCTCTTAAGTATCCTTACCCCGTTGCGAGGCAAGGGTAGATCAATTAGTACTATTTAAAATTATAATTTTACTGAAAAAATTGTGTTCAAACAAAAACAAGCTAAAAATACGTCGGTTATAAGAACGAACCAATTAAAAATAAAAAATCTATTAAACTCAAAGGGTTGAGGCTTCGACCCAAAAACACCCTCTGAGTTCCAAAATTATATAAATTTGTAGTGGCAGCAAATTGCAATCTCCACTAGATGATATTTATTTATGAAATGACAACAAATCTGTTAGTTCCCAATAAAGGGATTACACAATCATAGCTCCGAAGCTTCATTCTATTCTGGTGATGGACTGATGTGGAATGATGGAGCGTAAATCAGCTGTAACCCACTTGGCTGGATTTCTTGTTTTCATTCGTGAGTGAACAAACTCTTTGATATTTTTACAAAACAGAAAATTACGAAACAACACAGACCTGACAAGAGTTTTGAAATTCCAACCGCTAAGTGTATATTGTTTTATAAAATTGTTAAAGATCACCTACGACCGTTTTTTTAAGTAGCCATTTCAGTCCAGTTACAAGAATTGAAAAGTTTCACACAACAGCATTTTGTATTTTCATAACAGCATAGTTTTAACAACACGGATAACGAACGGACCAATGAGGTTCAAGGATTGAGAGAGAATAAGTAAAATTGCAATGATTCGAACTTCAACTAATTAGCTGTTCAGGCCAATTTAATTGTAGAGTGGTGCAATTAGTGTTTTTTACAATGTTTCGTTGCATCACTGTCAGTGGCAATGAGATGTCATAAACGAAAACATAACCGCAATATATGATCGCGAGTGTTGGTCTCAATAATAGCATGGTCGTCACTCACAGATCGGCAACACCCGCAGGTAAATGTTGCAATCTCGGTTATAATGTGATCGTCATTCGCAATCGTGGCAACGTAAGTAAATGTTGCTGTCTGGGTAATAACTTAAAATAAGGTGTTGGTAGTGAACTACAGGCTCACCTCTATCCCTGAATGTGAGACCAGTGAAGATTGGTGGGGGTAGTCAAGGTGGTGGTCGAATCCAAGACCAGAGTCGTTAGAATTCTCACAAGGATCCACAGGAATCCGCTCTCGCTTCACGGGGGCAGCTGCAAACAATATTAAAAATGTTATGAAGAAACTAGTAACTGTATTTCAAAGATTATTTATCTCTGAAATATTCCAAGTAAACTAACAAAACAATTATTTTGAAGGTCGATGACCAGGGTTTTATCCTGAAAATAGGCAGTAACTTTTTGATTGTTGAAATCTGGACCCAGCTGTCCTTGATCATTGAAATTTAAATTAATGATCTAGGCTAAATAAACAGCTGATCCTATTCTACCCAGATCATCCACTCCATACCTTGCTCTATAGGACAGCCAGGTACCTTGCTATCATTTTCTGCTTTAAATCTCTGTCTAGGTGAAGTTATAAAAGTGAAACTATATTTTCCCATGGAGTGAGCAAGAATAACGTAATTTCTTTGTAAGCAAATATACTGATCTGCAAGTTATTATACACTTAAGACCTTCTTATGGTATAATTTTTACATCATTGTCTCAACACAGTTCATCTATGGGTGCTGGGAATCTTTAAATTGTTGTCCTTTATTATTCGTTAGGCATTTTACTGATTTCTCCAACATATTTTTGTTTATAATAGAAAAGTCACTAATTATAATAATACTAGAAAATAGAAAAAACACTCTACCTGTAACCCTCCATAGCACTACCATGCTTCCTAACAAAACAGGCTAATTAATGTCACTAGATATCAGCATTTTTTAATAGAAATTGTGGGAAATATTTCATCTTTTCTTAAACTGCAGTCAAATATTTACATAAAATTGAAATATTTATTCTCATCATCTAAGTCATAACCAGGTATTGCCAAAATACTGACCCTTAACTTACACTAAACAATAAATTACATAAACAACCGTTAAATGTCATAACTATTGAAATTAACTAGGCATTCTCCTCTCAACAGATATAACCCTTGAACACTCAAATTTCAAGCAGCAAAAGGTATCGAGAAGATTTAATGGGATTGACCGAGAAACAACTTAAAACTAAAGAGACCGGCCTTCCCAATATCATGGCCTAGTTGCCAGTCAATGCTCCTGTGCCACCGCCACCAGCTGTTCTGTCCTATTACTACGCCAAGGACACCAAACCAACACATAGTGACAATTACCACTTTATTAGACGACTACTGAACGTCTCAGAGTGTTAGCAACTCAACATACCACTTCATGTAACACCAGATTGTGGATGGAGAAACAAAATCTATATTCTATGGCAAGAAAACTGGGTAAAAATGGAATAAAAAAGCCTCAGAAATCTCAAGTTAATATCTACGCCTGCTGAGTTACTTCGAGGATGAATAACAAAGACTATTGCTTAAAGGACAAAGTGGTCAAAATCACTCTAATTTTTTTTAGATTTGCCAGGGATCGAACCTGTGGTCATATTAAAGTCTCGCCAGACGTTAACCAAGGCTAGAATGGAAGGATGTTCATAACACAAAAACCCAAATTGTATATACCTATGTTAAAAAATTAAGTAAGGTCCAATGACAACTTTCTGGCCACCAAAGAATGAAGACCTTTATGAGTTTAATTTGGTCAGTGGTCGGGTGTGTTAAACATTCTTAATTTTTCTGTACAATTTTGCATTTGCATTTTTTTGTTTAATAGGTATAATATAATATAATATAATAATAATATAATTTTTTGGTTTTGCATTTCTTAGGTCATGGACTCTTTCTCAATCAGACAAACCTTCTTATTCCAACACAGATTCTCAAAAACAAGGTACTTGTGTTGTAAGTCGAATCAAAGGTTTAATCAATTTGGTTTCATGGATTCTCTAGGTAAAATGTAAAACCTGATTTTTAACCTGTATTAATACAAATTTGATAACCTTATACTGAGTAAAATGTTAATAATTGTTAGAAATTAATAAAATTATTCAATACACTATCAACTTATGTTAAACAAAAAGCTAATTTCAGTTGCTGAAAATCTAAAACCATTAATTTCACACAACACGGTTACTATGCAGGAATATGTTACTTTTGTTGAAATTTAACTCACTACCACCCACAATTTACCACCACATTTAGTTTTTCAGTTCCTTGAAACAGGATTGACCTCAGTGGCAACCTTATAACACTTGGGCCTATTTTGGTTTTTATAGCTGGTTGCTTCACCTCACTAGGTTTAGTTCTGTTTCAATATCAAATAGCTAAAGCAGATCTAACACGGACAGTCTTGGAAACTAGTAAACCTTGACACACAGATTTTCCGCTTTTATCCAAAATGTTAAACCGTTTGTCAATCTGTTGATATCTAGAAATACATCATGTAAACCTGTGCTGTTCATTTATCTGATATAAAATATTTTTGTTATACAGCATACTTTTTTTTCATTTTATTAACTACTGATAAATTGAATAGCTTAGTTTATATTATAGCCCACAAAATATATCTAATTTTTGTTTCAAATAATAGTGAACTTGGAAAGTTTACTAACCACTGAATGTTATTTGCAAATAGCAAAACCTAGATGGATGTGCTATTAGAGAATTTAAAAAAAATTAATTTACATTCACTAACACAATAATTAACTGCCAAATTTATAAAATACCCTTTGTTAGTCAGTTGTGACTAGTTCTCAAGACTATTTTCCAATTTTATGTTTAAATTTATAGAATATTTATTTATTCAAATTATGGCCAAAAACTTCAAACTGTTTACCGTTTGCTCATTATAAGTTTAACCATCTAAAGACTAAACTATTGTGTACAAATAGGATACAACAGTTAATTGTCTTGAGGCCTGTTCAGTGAGTTGATGAGTTGTTTTTAAGTAGCATGTAGAGAAAGTTAGAAAGAACATTACAGGTTATAGTAACTCAAGTACAGTACAAGGTGTTTGTCCTGTAGCTTTCACCTTGTTGTTGCTAGCTGACCTTATCATGATACAAGATACTTAAAGGCTCATCTGATTAATATAGCACATCCGGTTCAAACAGAAAATAATACAACTCATACAGTTAAAACAGAAAATAATTTGAATGGAACTAATCCGGTGTAAAGGGAAATTATTTGAAACAAGTCATCATGTAAACGGAATGCAACTACAGCTCATTCAGTGCAAAAGAAAAATCATTTGAATAGTTATTTGTGTAACTAGTGTGCGAAGTGGCACTTTAGTGCACATGGGAGAAATATTTATGCACGAGCCCCAGGCGAGTGTGCAGCAAAGGCACTTTGCACTCGCGTTATACATCATATTTTTCTTACAATCATTTCTATAATATAAAAATAAGTGGTCTTTCAAACACTGAAAAATCAAGCATTGAAAAAAATTGGAGAAAATACACCAGTCATTGTAGTCGTAGTATCTTTAAGTGTTGCCAACTTATTGTCAACTGTATACGTAGTACGTGCTTAATAAAAGCACACTTTTTTGTGTTGTTTGGTTGGAATACTGGAGTGTGAAAAAAAAATAGTGGGGCAAAATAAAGTAAATACAGCAATTACTTATACATACTTATATATAGCAATTAATCTATACCTTGCTAACTACTAAAGGTAATTAAATTAAACCCACTTGATTTATGATTTATTTATGTTAATCAAGTAAACAAACACCAATCCAGCTGACTAAAAATATAACAGCAGTCTCAATGCTGAATTGTACACACTGTAGATTGACCTCAAGGTCAAGTTAGTGATAACAGACTCATGATTTATCTTGCTGATATCTTATCACCAACTGCAAATGCACCAACTGGCTAGTCATTGCAGAGGCTTGGTTGGCAAACTGTGACTGTCTCACACACAACCGAGCACTATGTTCAACCATTTCAACCCTAAGGATTGTTTAGAGCTTAATTTTGCTTATTTCAATGTTTTCTCGTACCGTATCTTATAAACACAATTTCTTTCAACCAGTTTTCAGTAGACATACACATACAGGTTTAGCAAAAAGTGGCATAATGCACAATTTTTGTGTGAAACTTAATAGGAATTAAATTGTTTTTTAAAGAAGTTAAATACAACAAAAATGGTAATATGATTTATATACTTGTGGATATAAAACTCTAGCAAATTGCAATTACTATGGTCAATGCAAACATGACGCTGCCTACACAAGCTGATGCAGTGGATGGTGAGAAGGTGTTGGTGTTACTCAACATAGTGTTCAAGTAGATTGCTAATCTCTAATTATGATTAGATAACCAGAATACACAATGCAGCAGAAGTTAAAGAGTAATTGTCATGCTTAGATGCATTCTTCGTGTTTTGTGTTGTTGGAAACCTAATCAAAATTTGTTCTTTACACATATATGCTTTGCAATAATATTTACATGTTTGCTTTGGGTTGTTGTATAAGAAAATTCTAAACATAGTCCTTACTTGCCTTAGAGAAGTAAACTATACTTCAATATGGTTGTAGCATCTTTTCGTGACATAAGCTTTTGGCACTGACTTTGGGACCCTAGGGATTGGGTACCCAATCCATATGAACCACCTATAACCAACCTTTCATGATATTGGAATAATAGTTAAAGAATAGCTCATGGCATCAAAATCCTATTGTCTCTCTTAGTTATTGACACTTTGTTAAATCATGTGGCTTTAGACATGCTATACTTTACAGTTTTCCTTTGAGTCTAACATGTTTGAAGTATGAAACTTTGAATTAGTTTCTTCCAAACCACAAAAAAATATTTATCACTGATAGAATTACACACAAACTAAACCTACCTACCAAAAGTGACAAAACACGCTATTGGCTGCCACCAGATGCAATTCTTAAGATGGCTTCATCTATCTTTGAACTAAATAAACAATTGAGGTGGACAATTGAGGATTGTACTTCCAACCATACTAACCTCCAGCACTCACCACCTAGGCTCCAGTGTGAGTGGGAATGATATCAAATAAAACAGAATTTTTATATATCAGTAGAATACTTTACACTAGGGATGAGCATCGATACCCAATGTTTTTGAAAAATCAATGTTTTTCTATCGATGTTCAATGTTTTTACATTGATTTTTTTGCCCAAGTATTGATATATTGATGTTTTCCATAGCTAAAATATATTTTTCCTACAGTTACCTAACAATGTACATGTTCTCTCACTGATTTGAGAAAGCAAAGTGGCCAATTCGCTCATCAGTGAGACAATGTTAACATTGTCTCACTCTAATTACTTTGTCTCACTCCAGATTTGCAACGTGAAGGCACGAAATAGTGAGCGCGTAACATGCAGGCAACGTCGTATGCTCGCGAAATACGTTGGCAGCACTGGCTGTAAATCAGCTGGTCAGCTGTTGTACTGTTGTATTTGTCACTTCACATTAAATGTTATATTAAAAGTTCACTTCTGTGTAAAAATAGGTTATGTTTCTTCACCAATTTATTTGTTTTATGGTAACTGTAGGAAAAGTATAATGTGCAACTCGAGTTCAAAGTACAATTGCCTCACTCGAGAAACCATTCCTCGAGTCAATTGCTCACTTTTCTCACTAGTTGCACAAATAACTATAGTTTTGATGAAAATTTAAATTGAATTTTTGTATTTATTCTAATAAAAGGTTGATGAAATATTGAATCCAAAAATATCGTGAACTGGACTAGACTTGAATAATAGTGTAGAATAAGTGAGATAATTATCTACATTTTTTGTGAGGTGCTTGTTCTAAATGCTTCAAAAAAATCAATTTATATTTCTAATGAATTTCAGTGGCAGCCGGAAGCACTCCTGTTCTCCAGCATAATACCGATATTTGGTCTTGCAAATATGAAAGAGGAACTACCAACGTATAGCTAGCAACATAGACTAACCAATGCAAGGGAGTGTGTTTAATCAATGCTAGTAGAGTATGTCTAAAGGTAATAGCTGAGTCAGTGAAAGTACTGAGAGCAGAAAAAAAACTGAAAGAAAAACATCGAATAACATTGACGTTTTAACCCCAAACACATCAATGTTTTCACAACGACGTTATCGGCACATCAATGGTTGACATCGATGGTTAACCTATCAATGTTCATCCTTACATTGCACCAGAGTAGGTGATATTTTATTTGTTCAATTTGTTTCTTAATTACTTCAAGACATAAACACATTTGCTGAAGAAGGATGCAGTGTTAGTATAAAATGGAGTGGATGATCTCAAAGATCAGCTGTTTCTCCAAACATGCATTAAAAGCTGAAAGATATCAAGGACAACTGGGCCAATTTTCTGCATTCACTTGATTCAAGTACCACAGCTACGACATTACAGTAGTGGTACTTTAAATTTACTTAATTAATTAAACATTAATTCAGACTAAATCAGATCCTTAAAACACATCTAAGTCATTTCTAACATTAAAATAAATGAGTTGCAGCTTTTTTTGACAGAATCCAATTCTCTTAATCTTGTAGATATACAACATCATATCATTTTGATTATATAATGAATCATGCAGATATTACAGCCAAAAGGGCTACAACAAATGTTAAGTTATGCTTTCTAGTACATTTTCAACCCAAGGATGTTGGGGTTAAAAACAAAAGTTGGCTAGAGTTTGTTTACCCATCTCAGAAATGACTATCATATATGTATTGTTTTTGTCCTAGGCCCGAGTCTGGGATTGTTTTTCACATTTACTTCAGGCTAGACCTAGGGGTTGCAGCATTATCACTTAGATAAAATCCATTGGGGGTTTGAACCCAGACCAAAGTCCCTCTACCATTAGACAAGCTCGGCCCCCAACTATGATATAAGTTTGGTTGTTGTTTAAAGCTAACTAGTAAGGCTTAGTCTCATGTTATTGAAATATCTTAAAACCATCTCGGGCTTTCATCACGTGTTTGTTAATGATAAGATCTTTTCACCACACTATGATGTTTTTGGCTGTATTACATACGTTAATTGGTGGCTGAAAGTTACGTTATGCTGGCCATGCCAGCTGTCATCATAATTTGGGGACCGAGCAGGTTTTTACATCCCGGGGCCGCAAAATCAGCTGTCCGCTTGCATATTAATTACACAAACAGTATCCATAGCATTTAAATAGAATTGTTTTATTTTCACTGTTGCCTAGCAACTGTTTATTATTATTTTTGCTGATTCCTGAAATTACTTCTTCACATAACCTTAAAGTTGTGTAGACTATCAGTTTTCATTATTATTATTGTGAATAGTAGTAGTGTGGTGAAAAATAGTGTTCGTACCACGGACCGAAAATGGTTTTGTAGCTCTCGATCGATTTAAGTTCTCGACTTTGTCTTAAAAACTATCTCGAGCCGGCAAAACCTCGTTTTTGGCCCTAGGTACGAAATTTACTATTATAGAACTTCTTTACCACCAAACCTTTTTATGTCATACTGTAAAAAGCATAGTTTAAATGTACGAATGAAATGGAAATAAGGTATAGTTACATTAAAAAAAATATTGGTTAGCTGTTTCCAGCTGTTTACCTAACAATCAATGTGGCCAGTTTGATCCAAAAAAAGTTAGAAGCTATTTAAAATACTGTAGATGCAAACTGGATCAGCTGTCAACTGTACATTGTGGTTTTTTTGGTTTTTTTCATAGATGGTTTACTAATAAAAGATTGAAAGTATTATTGGATGTAAATTTATATCCATCAAAACTGTGTGTGTAACCCAAACAGAAGAATTATGACTTATGGATCAAGCTTGTTGGTTTTATTTCCTATCTTTCAACAAGACAATGTTTTGTGTTTGTTTGAATAGACTTTGGTCTGAAAACAACCTATCATCCAAACAAATAAATTTTCTTTTATTTGTAGCATTTATCTTAACACTGCTTCCCTTTTGTTTGCATGGTTTAATATTACAAATAGGCCAAAAGGTCAATTTAATGTTAATTAGTGAGAAATTGTGAAGCTACAGGGAGTAAGCTTGTGGTTTTAAATGAATACCTTGACTGCTATTCTACACTTTGTTTTTGTACCATTTCCTAAGTAGTAAAGCATTGAAAAGAGACCAAGGACAAAATCCTGGGTAAACATACAAGGAAGGTTCAATGAGCTGAGTGAATGTTTGACAGCTGGACATCAATGCATGCTTAACTGACTCATAGACTACTGTACTATTAATCCCATCATAAATTCAAGTTACAAAATACTGAACTATCAACAAATAACAGTGCAATTAAAGCCAATTGGTCAAAGAGTCATTAGGATTCCCAGTAAATTAGACAAGTTATCATCAAATTACAAATCCATACCAGATAGGTTTCTCAAAAAGCTATATCGTATGAGTAAATCGCTAATACAGTAGATGTAATTCTATCATCAGAGGAATATAATTTTACACTATGGTCACCTAAAATCAACAATTTTATTTTAATATAATTTTAATACTATTAATATTTTTGAAATAAATAATTCCTGCCCTCTATCACATAGTAAAAGTTTGTTTGAGTTACACTCTTTTACAAATTATAAATAGATAGGCTACTTTATAGTTGAAATAATTGAACTTAAATAAGATTTTTTGTGATTTTCAAACTATGGCGAAAATGAAGTTTATCTTATTCCAAAAATTTTTCAACACCGTAAAATGTTGCCTGCATTTTATAGTAGTTATGGATAGTCAACCTTTGTGTAAATTTAGCCTTTCAACCACTTTGTATTGGATCTATGTTATTCAACCACTGCAAGGATTTTAGAAATGGTAAAAATCACGAAACCACCTCTTCTACCTGCTGAGAAGGAGCAGTTATTTACATTACAGATTGACCAAGACGATTTGAAGATAAATTTAAGTCGGCAGCATCTGTAGACTTTCAAAACATTGGGTTTTCCTATGAAGATGTATGAACCCATGAATAAATCTAGCAATTGTTTTCCACACGCGCCGACAGGTAATGTATTCAGAAGTCAACAGTGGCCAGTGTCAAATTATTAACTGCCTCAAGGCCCAGGAGTTAATTGCCACGGCTTCTTAATTGACAACTTCTGGATAAGAAAACTAGAAAATGTTTAAGTGATCAAATCGCCTTTTTTAATGCTTACATTGGGCATATTATAAGTTTGAGTTTAAAACAAGTAGGCAGTCAATGTTAAAGAATGTTATTTTTGGTGAAGAATATTAAAATTATGTATCGGAATTTAATCAACAAAAAAGTTTTTTTTTTATTACTGGTACCTAAGTAGGTTTGGAAATTTATCTTTAAACTTTAATTTTTTTATGATTTGAACTAATATTTCCCAGATTTAAACTTAAGTAAAGAAGTTTTATGGAATGTGTGTTGCTAGTCTAGTGGTTAGCGTTCCGGACTTCAGTGAGGGAGGGAATTCCCAGCACATCCACAAAACATTTACTCAATTTTTCACAGCTGAAGAGGACCTGGTCCTAGAACAGCCCCAGTTCGGAGGGTTTTGGCCCTCTGGACTGGAATATCTTGATATTTAAGTTTTATGGAATAGTAGTGTCCTTAGAATTAAAAGTGATCTATTTTACATTTAGTTAAACAACGTAGGTTAATTTTCTACTATAAAATTATCAATTTATAGTAAGCAGCTACATGACAAAGCAATTGCTACCCTGCACTATCTGTGTAGCTAAGTTGATATGGAGCCCTCCTAACAATTAGCTGTATACTGTATAATGCTCTGCAACTAGTAGTCGTGTATTACTGTATTACTTTGTGTGAACTCACCAGCTGTCCTGTGTAAAGCTCCCGGCCTCTTGTTGGCAACTTTGACCACTCTACGATGAATCTTGCCAGGCATGAGTGCAGAGCCTAGTCTGACCATTCCACCTGCAGCAACAAGAAATATCTCAGGAACAATAGATGACACAAGATGCATTTATTGTAATGTTACTTGAGCTGATCTTGTGGCTTTGGCCTCTGAGGTCCCGTATTCAAATACCACCAGTCACCAATGTTTTGACCATATGATAATGTTGACCTACATTAATTCTATTCTGAATTAATTAAATGTAACCCTTTTATAATTTTCAAAATTGAGGGTTGTGTTTTTCAATATTTTTTATGCCCATGGTGCACGTTTATTGTAAGAAAACTGCACGTCACTGAAATAATTATTCTTATATTAAAATTTTCCAGAACTTTTAAATGTACTAAAACTTTAAACATTGTAAGATTGTAATATGTAAAATATGTAACAATGACAATCGATTTTGATTATTCACACATCAAGCTCAATCGAATAAAAGAAAAGTGTGGTCTTGATAACAAAATAGTTCTCACTCATGTTTGAGTTGACACCAAGGACTATTGATTTTAAACCCCATATTCAAGGTGTACCTAGTTGTAGAATAAAAGAATAGAAGGAATAGTAGAATAGAATAGAAGCGTAGCTGAATTGAGATTTAACGTATTGATGTAAAGTACTAATTTCTGTCAAATATGACAACTTTTTAACAAGTCCAAATTAAACAGAACAACTCATTGAAAACTGTAACATATGTTATGGCACAATAACTATCATAGTGTAAAAATTAATAGATCAGAGTTAAACAGAATTTCTGATCATTCAAATAACTGTGTAAAAAATTTTCCTACATTCTACTTCATTACCCTTAAGTGAATGTTTAATCCTCATCTCATAATAGTATGTAGTACAAGTCCACCAAATGAGGCGCTTGTTTTACCAACTATTTGGTAGAGGGAGTAAAAATATGTAAACCGTCAAGTGTTTTATGATAATACAAACTGTAACATGCCATGACAGAGTCACCGAGGCGACATAAACTGTTATGACACGGTCAACATTGGTTGGCCTCGACAAAACAAATGCTTCGCAGAGTTTATCATTCACCTACAGTAACTGATGTGAAGTATGTTTTTAATTATCAACTTAATCTCTCAGAATTTTTGCTATTTACTATATTAACTCTGGATTTTGTAAAACTATTAAGATTTGTTTGACGCCGTCGATTAGTTAATGATGTCGACACACCAGTGTGTGTAATTGACTGCAAGAATAGTAATACATAAGTAGTAAATTCAGCTGTGGTGTTGGTTTTTGCAATATTTAGTTTAGTCTTTAGCCATAATCATTGACTAGAGTTGGTCCAGTTTCAAATCCAAAAACAGGTTGGAAACATAGCCCATAGCACAAAGATTTAGAATTTTTGCACCATAAGGCTCTGATTTACTAAATACAGCCTAGAAAATATTCTATGTGCATAGGCAAATCAACCAAAATAAGGTTGTCAAACAATATTTCAGGTATAAGAAAGGCCTGGACTTCAGAGGTTCTTTTAAAAAGATATGGTCAAGACAGCATTGGAGTTAGCCAGCTTGAAGTAAATCTTGATTGCCGCTCTGTTGTAGCCTCTTTTAGGATCTCAATAGTTCTATCCAAACCAATAAACCGGGCTGCCTTGTAAATGTATAGATACCATAACTGAATACTCGTAGTTATATTGCTCGTCTACGAATCATAATGTTGTCGGTTTGATTTTAGACAAGTCAGTAGCTTTATGATGGTTCAAAAATGTCCAGTACTAGAAACACCTTTACACATTTTTTAATTATATTACTAGAAACACCTAGGTTTTTCTAGTACTGGACATTTTTGAACCATCATAAAGCTACTGACTTGTCTAAAATCAAACCGACAACATTATGATTCGTAGACGAGCAATAAAACTACGAGTATCCAGTTATGGTATCTATATATTTACAAGGCAGCCCAGTTTATTGGTTTGGATAGAACTTTAGTATTTAATCTTTAGTCTTTAGTTGGACTAGACACCTAGGCCTATCTCAAGACTACACAATGTAGTATTCACTTTTGTGGGTGTGCTGTGTGTTACCTACTGTCTCATTGGACCGATTTAACCATCATGGCTATTTGAGTGGTCTAATTTAGGTAATGTTTACATTATTCATGTTGCAAAAAGGATAGTTCTCATAAAAAAGTAAATCTTAATATTCAATCTAGATTTTAAATTCAGATAAACATATAACCTATTTTGTTTATCTGTTTATTAAATTAAAATTGATGCTGACAAATTAAATTAAATTTAGCCGACTGATGGCTTGTGGCCCTGACGATCATATTGTGTGGGCGAGAGATCTGCTACATGGAACAAACAGTGGCATCAAGGTATAAATAACAATGACAGCTCAATCAATATCCCATGTCACCAGTCCACCACCAGAGTGCACTAGGAAAAGAACAACAAACACATATAAAACTGTTGGTTAACTGTCTTTAAATGATTGTTATAAAAGATATTTGTTCAAATTGCATACAGTAGGCATTTTGTAATTGATTTTGCATTTGACGTGTGGACAATTGCATTGAAATAACTCTTTAATCAGAATTATTTAGTCAAACTAGTGATAGTTTTGAACAAGTTCTGTCTCAAGAACTGTCAGAAACTTTAGGAATAAAGACTACAAGTTTCATCATAGGACTATTAAATAATAATCTCGAGAAGGCTTAACTTATCTTAGCTGTCTGATCATTTTGCTTCTGACTCTCAATAATTGTAATAAGTATATTATCTGAGAAATGTAGGTTGTATCTAGTATCAGCTAATGACAGTAGTATAGGCCTAGTAGCTTAGTAGATTTCTTGGTAGCTCAATCGTCTTAAAGGATTTCCAATGACCAAAAACTTCAGACATACCTTAGGGAATCATATTAAAGAAGATTATTTTTATTGACTGTAAGTGTTTTTTACATCCCAGTCCCACTGGCACATCCTATGATGCTAGGTTCTGGCAAGGAAAAGGTTTACAATATTGTAGTACATGCTAGGCCTAGTATTACCACATTTAATCAGGTATGCTCACGGTATCACATGGATAAAATAAATTCGTGATTGGCGGGATGTGAACCGGGAACCTTGGGGACTGAAGTTTTACACTCTACCGAAAGTCCAGCTCACTTCCCCCGCCTGTCATCGGCTGGTCAAAATATAAGTTACTAGGTTACAAAAGAATGAAGAGAAGATACACTTAAAACAAGGCCGGATGTGTTTCAGACTAAATGTAAACACAAATATAATATAGATAAAAGATAACCGGCCTATGGTAACAAACAATGCCTTAAGCATAACTCGGCTTACTGCTACAATACTGGTTACAGCCGATTGTACTTTGTATAGAGTTGTCGAGTTGTCACAGCCGGATGTTTTGTTGATCGCCGTCATCGCGGTAGTTAATACTTTAAATGGCGACCGTACAAAGTACCATTAAGCCAAGTATGAATGGAGAAGAGTGTAGGATGAGTGGCGCGATCTTGTAGTCTTGTTAGTGACTGAGGCTGACATTCCTTAGGCACAGCTGTTAATTAATAGCCCATGCAGCTAATGGTAACTAAGGGACCTACAGTTTATAGTGGAATCCGAACCAAATTGTTGACTTTGTATATATGAATTGGTCTTATTTTCAGGATAGTACTGCGGATAGTCGTAGTACTCACTAGAAGTGCGGACGTTAATCCACACCAGGGAGTATCGCATCCACAGTGAATGCCTATAAATATCCACAATTCGTGACCTCCTAGTTGCTGGATAATAGTTAGTCGTGTCCGAGGTACTGTGTGTCTAGTCTCTACTGCTACTACAAGTAACATATTGTACTTTGTGTAGAGTTGTCACAGCCGGATGTTTTGTTGGTCGTCATCATCGCGGTAGACGTGTCCGAGGTACTGTGTGTCTAGTCTCTACTGCTACTACAAGTAACATATTGTACTTTGTATTGAGTTGTCACAGCCGGATGTTTTGTTGGTCGTCATCATCGCGGTAGACGTGTCCGAGGTACTGTGTGTCTAGTCTCTACTGCTACTACAAGTAACATATTGTACTTTGTGTAGAGTTGTCACAGCCGGATGTTTTGTTGGTCGTCATCATCGCGGTAGACGTGTCCGAGGTACTGTGTGTCTAGTCTCTACTGCTACTACAAGTAACATATTGTACTTTGTGTAGAGTTGTCACAGCCGGATGTTTTGTTGGTCGCCGTCATCACGGTCATTAGTCTTGTCCTAGGTCCTGTGTATACGTTTTGCTTTGTCCTTTAGCTGCGTGTGATCATCCACGTGAGACACTTTCCTCCTTTCACATTCCGCTGTCTCGTGATCGACGAGGTTCTAGCCACGCAAAATCACTGCAAATTACTACAAACCATCCTCAAACGATCAGAATATACCTAGAAAATAATTTAAACACAACCAGCTTCATCAGTAATCTGAGGTATTTAGGGGGTATTCATTCTAATTACCGTCGACAGTGTCAATAGTTAAGGCTTCAGTACGTATTTATATTGAAGTCCGTCTCCTGAAATGAGTGCAGGCAAACAAACCCAATTTAATACATAATTTCTTAGTCTACATTCTTTGATTTAAAAGTTTTAAAGTATAACATTTTGGTTATTTCTGCCCTTTATTTCATAATATCACCGACCCTGTAATCCATGTTACCGTTTGTCAAAACTAGGCCATCGGCGATAGTACCGACCCACTCCACACACGCTTTGTATGCGAAACACAATCCATCTTGGGAGTAAAAACAATTCAACCCTCGCCAACATCAAGATTATACTGTCTTTTTTTTGTTTTAGAAGCCTATCTTCTAGCCTGTGAAATTTTGACCTACTGATCACAGTTTTGGGACGGTTACCGAACATATCAAACAACTAGCGATAAATCATAAAATAATAATTAAAATAGTTTCTGTCTAAACAATACACCACCCAAAGTGTTGGGTCGCGGCTGCCGAGAGTGTAAGTATTTTCGGCCCCAACGTCACTGGACGTCCAGCCAGTTCCGCCAGTCGTCAC